ACTGCGTGTCCAGTGTCAAAACCGCCCACTGTCAGACACACTCCCATGCTCCAGGGCACGTGGCAAATGCTATTCAGTGCCTGTTGGGCATGGCCCGAGCTGTCTGCAACCTGAAGCCCCCACTTGCCTGCCCCTGAGAGTCCCTGAGGAGGGACCTCAAGGAAGGCTTCCTCACTCTGTTGCACCCCAGCCCCCTGCCCACCTGGACCTCCTGCCCACCTCCCTGCAGGCTGGCGTTCAACACCGGGGCTTAGGCCCCCACTCACTCACCATCCTCCTCGAGGGCCCTGGGGCCCAGCTCCAGGTCATACAGGCGGAGGCTGGGCCGGGCGGAGCGCACCATGTCGCCGAGCAGGGGCCGGCTGCCCCGGCGCCGCAGCTTCACCGTCCGGTTGTAGTACTGGGAGATGATGGCCCCACGGCTGCGGCCTAGGAAGGTGCGTGGCAAAGTGAGGAGGACAGAGTCAGGCCGGACCTTGCCAGCCACCAGGACGGCTGTCAGCAGCAGGCCTCCCCATCCCTCAGGTCTTCCCAGGGCCCAAGACAGTTCCTTTATCAGAGACCTCAGGACCCACTCATTCCAAAGAACCCAGCAAGGCAGCGTGGGGTAGCGCGGGGCCTCCAGGCAGCAGGCGGGGTGGCCAAGAGCCAAAGGGTCTGGCTCAGAGGTGCACAAATGCCCAGGGAGGGGGTCGAAGCCAGCAATGAGGGCAGAGGCTCCAACTCACCGATGGTGCGGCTAGGCATGCTGGCCAAGATGCGGAGTGTGGCTGCGCTGTGGACAGGGGCACCCTCTGGCCCCAGGAGGGTCTGGTGACCACTGCCTATAAAAGAAGGAGATGTCCCTGCCCAGCCACTTTGCCCACCCCATGGCCAGGAGGGTTATCTCCAGCTCCTGTCCACTCTTGCTAGCCTCCAGGCCTGGGCTCACCTGGGACCCCCAGGGTTCCGGCCACCAGCTGCCTCTGCTGCAGTTCCAGCTCCTCCTCTGCCAGCTGGCTCTGCTGTTGGATGAGCTGGTGGAAGGAGTCATGCACCTCGCTCTCCTCATAGGGACTGGGCTCCTGGCTGCCAGGCGGGAGAGGACGAGGGAATCCAGGCTCCAGCTCAGAAATGGTAACACAGCCACCATCCACCAGTCCCCAGCCCCAAAGCACTTACTCCTGGTCCCCTAGAGCCTCAGGGACATTGAGGACCAAGGCCAGTGGCTGGGCCATGTCTGCGGTCCACGCCCAGCCCGTCTGCAGACTTAGGGCAGCTCAAACCCTGGACACCACCTCTGGAGACTCCCACTGCCCATCTGATGAGACAGAGACAAAGTAAACCCTCAATGCCTGGCACACATCCAAATAGCCTGCTCCCTGGGGGACCAAGCTGCCTGCCCCTCTCCTATCCCCCACCCACAGATAAACAAATGGTCAGGGGAGTGACCCCAAGTAACCCTCATGCCAAAATGGCTGAGGAAGAGGGAAAGAGAGAAAAGAAAGGAAGGAAGGGTGTGGACCTGCAGTTCCCATCAGTTTCCTCGATGTCGTCAGTGGTCTCTAGTGCCTGGAAAATGAGGAAGGGGTGGGTGCCTGTGGACGCTGCCCTTTTCAGGCCCTCCATTCCCAGGGTGCTGCCCCAGGGACACCTTCCTCTAGGACAAAGGTCAGGGCAGCTCAAGGCCTTGCCTGTGCCTGCCCTGTAACCCCAAAGCCCTTCCTCTAGCAGGAAATCCGCCAGGCAGCCCTGAACCCTGCCCCCCCGCCCCAGCGGAAGCAGCACACAGAAGGGCTCCCTGCCCCCACCCCACTGAGTGCTCCACTCTGGCGCTCCAAGGTCCTCTCGTCCTCAGGAGACTGACTCCCTACATTCCATCACCACAGGGTGGCCATGGGGGAGGATGCTGGACCCAAACAAGCCCCCTTTGTGTTGGCTCTGGCGTCACCCAGCACAAGTGGAGCCAGCATGGCCCTGTGTGGGGCTGGGCCTCTGGGCCTAGCGCCCTGTGGGAGTGGGGTGCCCAACACTGTTGCCAACGGGCTGACTCTGCAGAACTCCCGCGGGACACAGGCCCAGCCCTGGCCTCAGTCCTCCCTGCCCTCAGCCCCAGGGAACCAGGAAAGTCGGTTCCTTTCAGGAGGCTTCCCCGACCAGCAACAGCACAGTCCCTGCAGACTGGTGACCACACTGTGCCCAGCCTGGTGTCCTCGACACCTAGGACTGAACAACCCAGGTCCTGCCCTCCCTCTAGTAGAAACATAACTGTTGGAGGCCACCTAGAGCCTTAGAGGTGGCCCCCACCGGGCCCCAAGTGTAAACTAGCCAAGCAGGGTTGAGGGGTCCCCTGGAACCCTTCTCTGGGCAGACAGACCCTCCCAAGCTCAGATCCACAAGGGGATGGGAGGTGCTGGGGGCTGCGGACCAGGGTCCCTGGGCTCCCCGGCACGCCTGACTTCAGCGGGCGACACCCAGTGCCCCGCCCCAGGCGGGCCAGGTCCCAGCGTTTCCTGAGCCGAGCCAGGTGGGGAGCGCCGGGGCTGTTTTCAGGAACCCGCACCCTGAGGACAGCGACACGACCGGGCCGCCCCTGCCTCGAGCCCCGCGCGGCGACGGCGACAGGGCCGCGGAGCAGGCCTCCCGCCCTGGCGCTGCCCGGGCTGGGCTCCCGCTCCCAGCTCCGGTGCCAGCCAGAGTCGGCCCTGGGAGGCCCTCTGGGAACTCGCTGCCAAGTGGCCTCGAGGCCGAAGGAGCGCGGCCCCGCGGAGCGGCCCGCCGCAGGCCCAGCGCCACCCCACCCCACGCCACGCCGATCTGCGACCCCGCGGGGACCCCGCGCCGGGACTCGGGCCACTCACCTGGGAGGCGCCGGGAGGCGGGGCGGGGCGCCGGCGAGTGGCTCACCTGTCCCGCAAGGGCCGCCGGGAACCGCGCTCTGGGCTCCACGACCTGAGGGAGGGTCAGTGGGAGCGAGTGACAAAGGGCCCCCCCCCCGGAGGGGGGGCGATCAGTGACTGTCGCAAGCCTGGAGGGCAGAGGGAGCTGCACCGCCAGCCCCGCGAGGCGGCGGGCATCGGTCACGTGACCGCTCCCTCCGGGTGTGCCCAGCCCCGCTGGGGCACCGGCCGACTGCGCCCTCTGCCCGCCGACTTCCGACCCTTCTCGCCCGGTCCCTGGAGTCTGCGCAGGGTGAGGGGTGACTGTCGGCCTCCAGGCAAACTCCGGCCCAAGCCCCCAGTTTTTGTAAGACGCGGCTTCCCCAAGTTTCAAAAGGGGACAATCATCCAGACCCACCCACTTCCCAGGGCCAGGGACTGTCAAAACCCGACGGTGCGCAGCCTTTCCACACCGTGTTGGGTAACCCCTTCCTCCCGCGCCTCCAGCGCGACATCCGCCACACCCCCAGCTCCGCCAGCGGCTATCGCCCCCTTCTGCTCGGGGCGGGGTTCCTGTGGCTTATCTAGTAAAAGTTCTGGCGATTCCTGTGAGCCAGCGGGCGGGAGGGGGCGCAGAGGAAGACAGCGAACTTCCCAAGGGCTGCGCCCACTGCTGGGCTTTCTGTTATTCCCTACAAGCAGGAAGGCAGGCACTGACCTTCCTATTTCGCAGATAAGAAAACCGAGGCTGAGAAAGGATGGTCAGTCTCCAGGGTGCCATCAGCCAGCACAGGGGCCTTGGTCCAGCTGGGAGCTGTGAGCAGGAAACTGACTTTGAGACACCTCTCCCCCAAGCTCATGAGAAGGTGGAGGGGGCTGAGGCAGACACGTGACTGAACAGGAAGTCGAAGACGGATGAAAGATGGGGCCCTCCTGGCGGGGGAGGTCAGGACTCCAGAGAGCATGCAGGAGTGCGAGGACTTCATGAAATCTGTGGGAACGGGTCCAGGGATCTGAGCTTGGACCTGAAGGGAGAAGCCAGGTGGGGCTTCCTCGCAGCTGTAAGTGTGGTTCTCAGGTGCGCTCCCTGGCGCATGGAGGCCCAGCCCCGCCCAGGCCCTGTACCCCTCCCGCCTCTTCCCCGGCCCTTCTCTGCATGCCCAGGCGCAATGTGCATGGCCCCAGGTGAACGCAGTTGGAGCAGTGCCACTTCCTACACACAAGAGCGTTTGAGGATCTTCCCCCTGCTCCCCCAGCCCACTGCGCCCACCAGCAGCCAGCTTGGGGGCTGGCACAGAGTGGGATCTGGAAAGCAGGAGCGGGGTGATCAGGGAGGCAGAAAAGCTCTGGGAGGATTCAGAGCTGGGATGACGGGGCTCTGAAGGAGGGGGACAAGGAGAGGGAGGTAGGGCTGGGCTGCAGAGCCTCCCGGGGATGAGGCCCGGGAATGCCAGGACAACTCCGAAACGTCCAGCCGGGAGGGGCGCTCCCGGCGCCTAGGGTTGCTTCCCGAAGGCTTCTTACGGGCCAGAAGCCAGGCCCGTCCCTGGACCTGGGCAAAGGGTGGTGCCAATGATAGAGGCGGGAAGTTCAGAAACAACGCCAGAGGCCTCTGCAGATCCAGAGGCCGGGTGCGCTGCTTCCCGCCTGAAGGCGACCTGCGGCGGGCAGTTAAGGAGCCCAGCCCTGCACCCCGCCGCCGCTGCCCGAGGGTCGGTCCCGGCTCCCACGCCAAAAGAGGGCGCGAAGGGGCGCACGCGCTGCAGTAGCAGGGGTCCGAGCGTGGCCCGAGGGCAGCGGAGCCCGCGACGCCCGCAGGGAGCTGAACCGGACCCCAGCCGGCGCGCACCGGGCCTGCCCAACCCCCGGAGCCGGCGCGCGGCTCTCACCTGCGCCCCCGCGCCCCACGGCCGACAGGAAGCGCCTGCTCCGTGCAGTAGACGGCCGAGGAAACGGCGGGGAAGGCGGGGGCGAGCCGAGAGGGAAGAGAGGCAGGGGCGGGGAGGGCAGGGTTCCTGTCATGTGACCCCAGCCGCCCGCCCTCCCAGCGCTGCCTGGAGTGGCGGCGGCAGCCAGAGGAGGGGGCGCCTCGGTGGTCCCCAGGTGAGCTGGATGCAGAGCCTGGTGGAGGAGGAAAGTGGAATAATTGAGTCCGAAAGCCTGGGGTGGGGTGTCATAACCGCTGCAGAGGCGGCCTTGGGGTCCCCTGCTCCCCTTCCCACGGCTGGGGCTGTAGCCACGCCTCCTCTCCTGGGTCAGGTGAGGGGCCCTAAGCAAGCCCAGGCCTGGGAGGCTGGGTGACCAGAAGGAAGACAGAGCGGGGTCCCAGGACGTCCAGAGCTGGGGTGCTGCAGTTTGCCGCATCCTAGAACTGTCCCGGCTGGCAATAGGGTGTCTTCCTGAAGGGGAATGGGCACATGAAGAGGGGCGAGAATGTGGTTTTGCAAAGGGTGACCTGCAAGGCCTGTGGCCACAGGTGACTAGGGAGTGGGAAGAGCGGGCATGTTCTCTGACCTTTCACCCCATTTGACAGATGGGGAGACTGAGGCCCTATGCCATGTGTCGCTTTGAGAGGTGGAGCTGGACTTAATTCACATCCTGACCCTGCAGGATTCTCTTTTCACTCGGGGCATCCCTGGGCCAAGGCCCCGAGGCTCACCACCTGGCACCCACATTCTTCCTGGGAGTAGGGGGACGGCCAGGATGCTGCGACAGTGGTCGGGACAGTCGGGGCAGGCCCCGGGGGAGGCAGAACCCCCGCCTGCAGGCGAGGAGCTGTGGGAGCAGGAGATGGAGCGGCTCTACGCCTCCCGGGCGCCGGTGCGGACGCTGCCCTATGCCATCGTGGACAAGCGCTTCATCCGGTGGGTGGCCGGCCGGGCGGGGGCCGTGGGAGTGGAGGGCCTCCAGGTGGCCCAGTCAGATAGAGGGTGGAAAACGCCAGCAGCCCGATGGCGCCCTCTGCCTGGCGGGGTGGGCAGGACGGGTGACTCAGGGGCGTCCGGTCGCCACCCCATCCCAGGCACCTGCGGGAGCCGAATGGAGTGAAGAGCTCGTGCTGGCAGCGGTGGCAGCGCAGGTGGCAGATCGCACGACGACGCCTGGGGGAGGCGGCGCACCGGCTGGCCCAGGGCTTTGGGCTCTGGGAGGGGGCTCTCTACGAGATCGGAGGTAGGACCCACGACGACCCCTACTTCCCACCTCCTATCTCTGGGGTCCCAATATCCAGTTTCGAAAGGAAGAGGGCACCATCCCTCCGGTCATTGCCGGGGTCCACCCGCAACGATCAGCCCCTCCATCCTCTCTCTCACACACACACCCTCAGCCTCCCAAAGGCAGGTGCAAACCACGATGGATGACAGCACCCTCTGGTGGCCCCCGGAGGTACTGCGGGGAAGCCTCGTGCAGGTCAGCGAGCTGGGCACCCCCATTGAGTGGGCTGATAGGCACTCCAAGCCCATGCCCTGGCCCAGTCGGATCCCAGTCGGTGCACCTGTGTCTCCCTCGCCCGCCCTGCTCTTCTCCCCACAGGCCTCTTTGGCACCGGGATCCAGTCCTACTTCACCTTCCTCCGTTTCCTACTGCTGCTCAACGTGCTGACTGTGGGGCTGACTGCCAGCATGGTGCTACTGCCCCTGGCCTGGCTCCGCCCCCCGGACCCAGGCCCCGCCCAGAACTTGAGTGAGTACTGCAGCCGCCCCCTGATCCTCTGGGCACACCCTGGCATGCTGCCTGTGCCCAGCCTGGACTACCCTGCCTTGACTTTTGCATGGCACACTTCAGACACATCCACAGTGTCAGGGTTGGGGCTAGACTCACGAGGGCAGACTGTTGCCCTTGCCCTTGTCATGGAGACTTCTCTCTATTGGTCCCTCCCCCTCCTCAACAGCCCTGCAGTGCCCTGGCAGCCACCAGCCCCAGATTGGCATTCCGAAATTCCACAATCAACTTTGGAATGTTTTAACTGGCAGGGTAAGTGGGGTCACCCTGGCCACGGTCCAGGGGTCCTGGGAGGCTCCTGCCCCATCCAAGGACTCTTGGTTTCTAGAGAAAGGTCTGCCACAGAGGCTGGTGGGGCCCACAGTGGGGTCAGAGAGAGGCTGGCCTCCCCTGGGCCTGCTACATGTGCAGCACAGACCCACACACACCTGGGGCCCTCAGAACACAGCTGGGGTTGGGGGTTCAAGGAACAGGAGCCCATAGTGTAAAGTCCAGGCCTTTGGGACTGGAAGCCATCGAGTGGCCCTCAGGGTGGACCGCTAGGTCAGAATCCTGGCTCTGTTCCCCAGAGCTGACCCTGAGCAAGTTGCCTCACCTCTGAGCCTCTGCAAGGTGGGAGCATTCTCACCTGGTGGGTTACTGTGGGTGAGGAGTTCCCCCTAGGAAGGGCTCAGTACAGAGCCTGGACGCACCTGCTCAGGGTCTCCTTCCTGGTCCCCAGGCCTTCACCAACACCTATCTCTTCTATGGCGGGTACCGGGCGGCGCCCGAGAGCAGCTCTGCATACAGCATCCGCCTGGCCTACCTCCTCAGCCCACTGGCCTGCCTGCTCCTCTGCTTCTGTGGGACCCTACGGCGGTGAGTAGACCGTCCTCCCTGACACCCACTCCTGTGGTGGGGACCCCCAAGATAGCAGATAGACCCCCGTTTCCTACTCAGTAAGGCTCCTGGTGGTTCCTCAGCCCAAACTCATGCCTCCCCAGCTGCAGACCTCAGGAGCAGGGGCCACTGTGTCCCCAGCCCCACACACACAGGCTTCCCATGCCCAGCCCAGAGCTGGGCCACTGCTAAGGCCGAGGGGGAGGCCCCTCCTACAGCAGTCTGTGCCCCCAGGATGGTGAAGGGGCTGCCACAGAGGCTTCTCCTGGGCCAGGACTACAGAGCGCCTCTCAGTGCCAAGGTCTTCTCCTCCTGGGACTTCTGCATCCGGGTCCAGGAAGCGGCCATCATCAAGAAGCATGAAATCAGCAATGAATTCAAGGTGTGTGCAAGAGGGAACCGAGTGTGAAGCAGTGTGCGAATGAATCGTGTGTGCGTGAGGGCATGTGTGAGCGAGTGTGTGTTTCACAGGCAGAGCTGGAAGAGGGCCGGCGCCTCCAACTGGCGCAGCAGCGGTCCCCCACCCAGAGGGCCTGCCACCTGCTCACCTTCCTGTGGGTCAACGTCCTCATCGGGCTCCTGGTGGTTGGGGCCATCAGTGCCATCTTCTGGGCCACCAAGTACTCGCAGGACAAGAAGGAGGTACCTGGCAATTGCCTTCCTTTCATTCTGCCAGGACTGAGGGAGGGGACAGGAATCCCACTGTGCAGACTGGGAACTGAGGCCCAAAGAAGTCAAAGCGGCCATGACCTTGTGGTCTGGCCTGTGGATGTCCTGTTGACAGAGCTCTGGATCCTGCCTGTACCCATGTCATGTCTAAGGGGCCAGAGGGGCCGGGGAGTGGACGGGGTCCTGCTCTGCAGGCTCCCTGACCTGCTACACCCCACAGGAGGACCTGTTCGTGGTACTACAATATCTCCCCCCAGGGGTCATCGCCCTGGTCAACTTCCTGGGTCCTCTGTTGTTTGTGTTCCTGGTCCAACTGGAGAACTACCCCCCCAGCACCGAGGTCAACCTCACCCTCATCTGGTAAGCACACCCTCGGGGGCTTGTGGGACGAGTCTGTCTCCTGCTGTCCTGGCTGTCATCTGGCACCTGGGGGTCCCAAACCGGGAGGCTCCCTGTGTTAACCACTGCACCAGAGGGCAGGCAGGTGGGCTTCCTCGGCCCCGAAGGAAGCCTCCATTCTGGACCAACCACCAGCCATTTAGAGGGACAGGGGCTTTTTGTCCAGGAGACATTGCAACAGGCTTTGCCCACTTAGAAAAACACAGCACAGGCACACAGCTCCCTGAGGGCTTTACACCCCTAACTTGACAACCAGCACTCGGCGTGAGAAGTCCCTACCACCCTCATCCCCGTTGGGTGGACAAGGAAACAGCCTCCCAGGGTGAAGTGCCCAGCCAGGCCTGACCTCAAGTTGCCTTTGGGTACAGGTTCAAATGCAAGCCCTCCTGCAGCCCATGTTCCTTCCTAGCTCAGCACTTGGTCCTGTCTCTGCTCCAAACTCCTCCCAAGGACTCCTCCTGGACAGGCTCCTGAACTCCAGCGGCTTCTCCTTCCTCCTGCTACCCGACCCTCTGGGACCTGCTTTTCCCTCTGCTTTCCTCACATCAACTGTGGTTGGCCTTGAAACTTTATTTTTGTAGTAGGTTAGAAATGTGCGCATGGGAGCTGGAGATGCAGCTCAGTGGTAAAGCGTTTGCCTAGCGTGCGTGACACCCCGAGTTCAATCCCTAGCATTGCCAAAAAAAAAAAAAAAAAAAGAAAGAGAAAACTTTACACATGTTAAAAAATTCAAAATGCTTAAAAGGATAAAAGATTTAAAAAATAAGCTCCCGCCCACTCCTGCCTCCCAACCTCCCTCAACTGAAGAACCACAGTTCCCCGCCCTTCTGGCCACACATGGGTACTGCAAATGTCCCCCAAAAATAACATGCATGCAATGGTTTTAGGCCATCAGACCGACACGGTCCAGTGAGGCATTATTTAGTAAGCACGGGCTGCATGTGCTTATGATATGTGAGATCAGGTCAGCGGGCTAGGATGTCAGTGAGCAGCAGAGAAAGGAAGACCTGGGGGCCACCGTGCAGCTGGGTGGCAGGGCCTGTGCTCGCATGTGCGAATCCCTGGGTTTGAGCCTCAGTACTGCAAAATAAATAATAAATAAGGACAGTCTCACCTGTTCTGAGAGGCCCAAGGTCTGTGTCCTGCAGGCTTGTCCCACATGAGTTGCTAAGCTGAGAGGTGGAGTAGGGTAGCGGATTCTGTTGTGTTTCCCAGACCTCTTCCCCATGAATGATCTGGGGACTCGGATCCTGGGAACACCCTTTGGGGAACACTGCTGTGGACGGAGCAGCTGGAAGGAGGCTGGGCCCTGGAGTTAGAGGGGGCAAGGTGTCTCATGGACTCCACCCGGCGCCCAGCCCCTGATCCAGTGCCTGCCTGCCCACAGGTGCGTGGTGCTGAAACTGGCCAGCCTGGGCATGTTCTCCTTCTCCCTGGGCCAGAGCACCCTGTGCATCGGCGGAAACAGAACCAGCTGCGAGGCCTACGGCTACAACGCCTGTGACTACCAGGTAGCCGGCAGCCTGGGGCCTGTCCCTCCCATTCTTCTCAGCAGGGCTCCCCTCCAAAACCAGACAGAGCCCTGGAGACTCCTTGTCCCCCCGAGGTCTCACCTCTGTGACAAGCTGGGAGCAGAGCGGCCACACCGCTGCCCATACCCAGGGGGTGCTCCTGTTCCACACACGCTCAGGCCATGCAGCCCCCCTGGCTGGGGGACCCAGCTCCAATCTAACCCCGAGGTTGTGTCCGACTGGAGGAAAGGCTCCTGAACTCCTCAATGAGTGGGTGGGGCAGGGAAGCCTGGTGGTGGTGGGTGCTGACCGCCCCCTCCTCTGCACCCAGTGCTGGGAGAACGCAGTGGGCGAGGAGCTGTACAAGCTGATCATCTTCAACTTCCTCCTCACCGTGGCCTTCGCCTTCCTGGTCAGCCTGCCTCGGAGGTGAGCCGTGGGGGGCCCCCAGGGAGGATGCCCCGGGGCTACCGTGGGCATGGTTGGGGATGGCCAGTGGACACAGCCAAGGTCAGCCAGGCATTTCCATGTGGGTGAGGGTGTAATGGTCCCTGGCCATGACTGATGTGGCCCACACACCCCTCTTGCCTGGTGGGCACGTGGACACCCCCTGCCAGGCTGCTGGTAGAGCGATTCTCAGGCTGGTTCTGGACTTGGCTGGACCGAGAGGAGTTTCTGGTGCCCAAGAATGTGCTGGACATCCTGGCAGGGCAGACGGTCACCTGGGTGGGCCTCTTCTTCTGCCCCCTGCTCCCCCTGCTCAACAGCATCTTCCTGTTCCTCACCTTCTACATCAAGAAGGTGAGGGCACCCAGTTGGGTGGGAGCAGGAGAGCTGGGCTGTGGCCTTCCGCCCTCCCTCACTTCCTGGGCCTCAGACTGGGGGCCGCTGCCTGACGATTCCTGCTCACCCTTGCTCACTCCCAGTACACCCTCCTGAGGAACTCCAGGCCTTCCCCGCGGCTCTTCCGTGCCTCCAGCTCCACCTTCTTCTTCCAGCTAGTGCTGCTGCTGGGCCTGCTCCTGGCCGCAGTGCCCCTGGGCTACGTGGTCAGCAGGTGAGAGGAGGACTGGGAGGCCGGCAGAGGCAGCTCCTCCCTGGGGCCCTGACAACTGCCTCTCCACCTCTCCTTCTGCAGCACCCACTCCTCCCGGGACTGTGGACTCTTCACCAACTACTCAGCCCCCTGGCAGGTGGTCCCTGAGGTGGTGGCCCTGTGGCTCCCGCTGCCTGGCCAGCGTGCCCTCAACTACCTCAGTTCCCATGCCTTCAGCTTCCCCCTCCTCATCCTGCTCAGGTGCCTCAGGGTGGAGGACCCCTGGGAGGGTGCCCTTTCCCTGGGGGTGGAATAGGACTGGCAGCCCCTGGCCAGTCTCCCGGGATCCAGAAACCAGACAGGAGTTGCCCGGGGAAGCAAGTTCCCCAAGAGAGGTGGCCTGGGGGTCCTCACGTGCCTCCCTGTAAAGCAGGGGCCTCTGGGCCCGGCTTCCTGTGTCGGGGGCCCGGCGCCCCCCCCCCCCCCCCCGGGAGGGGGCGAGAGATGCTGTCTCCCCTTGAGGAGAGAGGCCCCTGTGGTGGGAAGGGTGGCTGACCTTGCATCCCTGTCCTCCCCAAGCCTGGTCCTGACCGTGTGCGTGTCCCAGTCCCGCGCCAACGCGAAAACCATCCATGAGCTCCGGAAGCAGCTGGTGTGGGTGAGTGTCCGCTGGGCTGGGGAGGGGACATGGACTTCAGAGGACACCCTCTCAGGGGTGTGGGGCCTGAGGCCTGGGACCGACCCGAGGTTGAGGTTGTCGGGGGTTTTATCCTGGTGAAGAGGGTGACCTTGGCTGGGGGTAAAGACAGGTAAGCGGAGGGAGCAACCGGTTCCACTGGAGCAGGACTTGAAGCTCCTCCACCCTGCAGCCTGGGAGCGGGGGCGTGGCCTATGGTCACTAGGAGGCGGTCTTGGGAGTGGTCTAGGGCGGGGCCTCTGGTCACGTCGGAAGCGGTCTTGGGGCGGGACCTCTGGTCGCGTTGGAGGAGGGGCCTGTGGGCGGGGCCTCAGACACGTCGGGGGCGGGCATTGGAGAGTAACCTAGGGATGGGCGGGGCAGAGCCGCGGCTGGGAACTGGTGGGCGTGGCCTTTGGCTTCAGCCCACAACCCGCCTCTCGCTCTCCCGCAGCAAGGCCGGGAGAAGTGGCACCTGGTGGAGGACCTGTCACGGCTGCTGCCAGAGCCCGCCCCGAGCGATTCTCCAGGACCCGAGTCCCCTCTCTCCCGAGCTTCGCGCCCACGGTCCTTCTACCCCGGTTTCCCTTGCCCAGGATCCCCGGGCCCCAGGGCCCCCCGACCGGGCCCTTCCCGGGTTGTTCCCACTGGGCTGAGCCCCGGGTTTCCGGGCCCCTCCTCCAGATTCCGCTACCCCAGCGGCGGGGCTCTGTAGCGCGGACCCCACGTGCCCTGCCTGGACCCACTTCCTCCCCAGGCCCTCTTAGCCCATGCTCCAGAGCCCTGGTGACCACTGCCCCTCCCTGCTCCCGGGCCTCCCCCAGGACTCCCCAGAGAGGGCCAGCAGGAAGACATAGGGAAATTTCTATCATCTATATTTTTATCTTATCCCTTCGAGTTTCCTTTTTTGTTGCTGTTGACGTTTTATAATACACACATATATTAGTATGTGACGGCTGAAGGTAACTTTCAAAATACATCAACTGGGAGTGCTCAGAAGTTGCTTACCCAACGGTGTACTGCCCTAGTTTGGAACCCTCTCCCTAGGCTGGGCCTCCTGCATGCCACCCACTTGGCCCTCCACATGTAGGGAGCCCACAAAGGTCCCGGCCATGGTCAACAAGGGGCAGAGCTGGGATGTGAATGGACCCAGAGGCATGGGCTGCAAGGCCACACTGGACCCATATGAGAGGCCATTCCAACCGTGACCACAAGGGCTCACTGCAACGGGAGGGTGTTGTCAGCCCCTCCCTTGAAGGCTCCTCACTGTCCCATCCTCTCAAACCTGTGTCAACAAGGGCACCTCAGGAAGCCAGAACCCAGCCTTCCACACAACCTGTCCTCCAGCCTGCTCACTGAGCTGACCTTGAGCCCCGTGAGGTGAGTGGGAGCCATGTGCTGTGAGTGTGGGCTGCAGGAGCTCGCCTGACCATCACAGCCCCAAAGGCAGGGCTACTGAACCCACAGTTCCCAGCCACTCTGAGGTGTTGGTCCAGGCACAGCCAGGGGCATTAGGACTTTAATTCATTTATTGAGGATCAAATCCAGGGCCTCCCAGGAGCTAAGCAGAGACTGTACCACTAAGCCACCCCTTCGGCCCCTCCAGACTTTTTAAATCATCCAGGGGTCTCTCACATGCAGCTGGGATGGAGAACTGAGAAGGGAAGGCCAGAAGGAGCCCGGGACATGGCTGAAAATCCTCCAGCGTCTCCCTGCATTTCTGCCTGCACACCATCCAGGCGGCTCTGGCCCGATGGCCTGGGGCTGGGGGCTTCTCATGTGATCATGAAGACTTGGCCAGTTCAGCTCCTCCTGCTGCCAGAGGCCTCCCTGAGCGATTCTCCAGGCCACAGTCCCCTCTCCCGAGCTTCTCACCCATGCACCTCTGCCCCTGCTGACCACATGACCCAGCAGTCCAGGAGGGAACACAGATTAGGTGCTAAGTGCTGGGTCCTGGTCTGGGAGCTGCCTATGACACCCCGAGGAAAACCGACAAACTGTGTTCAGTCTGCAGAAGGCCACTAGCCTGGCCCAGGTGAAGGTGGCATATGTTAATTAACAGGTCCCTGGACCCCAGCAGCAACATCTGGAAGCAGGTTAGAAATGCAAACTCTAGGCCCAGACCTCCTGCACCGGGAACTGTAAACATCAGTAATGTTTTTTTGTTTGTTTGTGTTGTTGTCTTGTTTGGGCAGTGCTGGGGTCAAACTCAGGTCCAGTGGTAGAGCAAGAGCTGAGGATCGAACCCAGGGTCTCGCACGTGCTAGGTGAACGTTCTACTGCTCAGCCCCAGCCCCAGCCCCAGCCCCAGCGAGTGTTTTAATGAGCCCTTGAGAGGAATGCTAAAGTGTGAGGACCTCTGTAAGGACGAAAAAGGGCCTGTCCTCAGCACCTCCTCCTCCCTTCCACCCAAGGGGACCTGGCCAACCACTGGGGACAGGCTTAGAGACCTCGAGGAATTCAGCCAATCTTGGGCCTCAGCTTGCTCATCCAAGACATGGGGAGGAGGTCCCACTCCTCTGAGTGGCCGGAAGGATTAAGTGAGCAAGTCCTGATGGACTGTAGCTAGAAGGGCCTCAGGGCTCCTTTTGCAGAGTGGCCTGAAGGAGCCCAATGGGAGAAGTGGGGATGGGACCCAGGACCCCTTGTAATCAGGAAGACGATGAGGGGACAACAGGGGATGGGCCCCTTCCAGCAGGAGGGTTCATGAAGGAGGTGACAGTGGAGCCTCGGAAAAGGGAGGTTGGCGGAGATGAGGAGGTCAGAGCAAAGCCTGGTGTTGGAGCCCTGCAGGGGGCTGGGAGTGGGGTCCACAGGGCCGGAGTGACTTTCTGTAGAGGACGGGGAGCCAACGGGTTGTGAAAGGAGGACCCCCCTCTGCCAGTAGCCCACAAGTGAGAGACCCCCTGGGGATACGACAATAAGCCAGGCTCAGGTCTCCTCGGGTGCACAGTCCACTGCAGGGGAAGGGCAGGAGTCCCAGTGCCTTCCACCTTGGCCGTTCCTGCACTGTCCCGCCAGCGGTGAGGGCTCTCCCATCTCTGTGGCCTCCTCGTCCCTCAGGCCAGGCAGCCTGCTGGGGCCCTTCCCGGAACAGGATGTGAGAGAAACAGGAGGCGGTGGTAGGGCCCTCTGCTGTGGGGAGACTGGCCCTGGGCGGGCAAAGTCACAAAGTGCCACTGTGTGGTGGGGAACTGGAGGGCTCTGGGGTCGCCCCAAACTCCCCTCGAGAGGTGACCTGCAGGTAACCAGCCCTTTCCCCTCTGCCAGATGGAGAGAGGCTTAGCCAGTGGACAGAGGGGCATCTCCCAGGAAATGACACCCAACAGAAGGGTACACAGGTGATCCCCAGAGGCCTGGGGTGGGGCGGGAAAGTCCTGGGTCCCACCAAGGCCCAGGGAAGATGTCCCTGGAGCTGCCCATGGCCCTCCTCTGACCTGGAATCCCAAATCCAGAGAAGATGAGGCGATTCCTCAGGGACGCGGGAGCTGAATCCATTCCCCAGAGACGACAGGGGAAAGCACTGCTTCCTGGGCCTGTAGGCAGCAGACCGGCCTCCCCAAGAGACCTCTTCTGGGTCCCCCTGCAGGCCTCACGTCCTCCCCCAACCCACCCCCAGCAGGAGCGAGAACAGACTCGACTCGAGAATGGGGATTTTGCTGGGAACTAAGAAAGAATACCCTTGTCCCCTTGGAGAAATGACAGGCACGTAGCTGAGGGGTGGGAGGCACAGGCTGCATCCTCAGGACCATGAGTGGCAGGCCACAGAGCTGACTCAAGGTGGCTGGGGAGACAGGGTGCCACCAAGGGCCAGCACAGCTGGTCTGGGGACACCTGCACTGACTCTCCCCGTTGCCCTTCCCACTGTTCCCTGGACAGGAGGGCCACCCCTCAGACCAGCTCCTGAAGTCACCAGGCCTCAGCAGCGCCCCCTGAGAATGGCAAGAGGGGGAGCCAGGGACAGGGCAGTAATTGGCCTGGGTCAATGGACACTTACCCCTGGGGGCAGCCAGTGGTTGACCAGGCAGGCGCAGCAGGAGAACAATGGAGACAAATGGTTACCTGACGGTAGGGGACGTGGTCCTTGAAGAAGCAGCATTTCCTGCCCAAGTCCCTGAACCTGGTCAGAAAACCATGGGCTGAGCAGGAAGTCATGGCGCACGCCGGTGATCCCAGCAGCTCAGGAGGCTGAGGCAGGAGGATTGCAAGTTCAAGGCCAGCCTCAGCAGCTTAGCGAGGCCCTAAGCAACTCAGAGAGACCCTGTCTCTAAATAAAATATCAAAAATGGCTGGGGATGTGGCTCAGTGGTTAAGTGCCCTGAGTTCAATCCCCAGCACGAAGGAAGGAAGGAAGGAAGGAAGGAAGGAAGGAAGGAAGGAAGGAAAGGAAGACAAAAGATAAAACCACCGGCTTGTCTGGAAGCCCCAGATCCAAGCTCAGGTGAGATGCCCGGCTGCATGGGCTGGGAGGACCCAGTGGCCCCTGCAGGGGGCCATCTCATCTGCTCCCACAGCCATCTGTGTCCCTCGACCCCGGGATGTGTGGCCCTGGTCTGGCCTTAGTGCTCAGGAAGGCCTTACTCACCCCACCGATCTCTTAGTTTCCCTAATGCAGCCACCAACCAGGCCACAACGCTGGTGGTGATGTGGCTTGGTCTTCTCTTTGTCCATGTCACCTGGGTCACTGGGCATCCCCCTGTGTTCCACTTCCTGGGCGGGTACCGGGCAGTGATGACGCAGGTCTCACTTGAAAGAGGTACGGACTGAGTTATCATTTCCTCATTTGCTGTAAAAACAAACACTTTGTTGCCGCTAAAAAAAGACCTGGTGTCTGGGTCTCAGGAAAGTACCTGGAGGGGCAGTCCTGCCTCCAAAACAACCTCAGTCCCTGGCTGCTGCTCAGATTTTTGGTGACCAAGCCCTGATAACTAAGAGACTGACTGACGGGTAGATCTCCTTCATCCATTCAGCAAATACTCGTGGCTGGTGGCCCACACCTGGAATCCAGCGACTTGGGAGGCTGAGGCAAGAGGATCACAGTCTCAGCAATTTAGTGAGACCCTGTCTCAAAATTAAAAAATAAGAAAAAGAAAAAGGCGGGGGTGTAGTTCTGGGTGAACTCCCTTGAGTTCCATCCCTAGTAACACACACACACACACGGAAGCACAGGCCCCTGAAGATGACCCCAGGGTTTGGTGTGGGCCACGGCGAGGGTTGGCTCCATCAAGTGCAGCCTGCTGGAGGAAACCTGTCAGTGGGAACGGAAGGCGGGCAGGAGGCCTGGGCATTAGGAACCGAGGAGCCTGGGCACCCGGGAGAAGCGGGAGTGACGGCCAGCCTTCAAGGAGTGGGAGAGATGGTCGCTTAGGGAGGGGACAGGGAAGATGGCCCAGAAATATCACAAGGATGCCAACCTTCAGCCCAGTCCATGAAGGCTCCGGGGGACAGGCCACCACCCAAGATGGTGCCCGGGCAGGAGGGATCCGGTTCCCATAAGATACAGACCGCAGGAGGCTGGCCGAGGTGCCTGGGTGCCGAGGAGGAGCTCAGGACTGGGTGGTGAGAGGCGGCTCACGGCGGGAATGCTAAGGGTGAGCAGGGGATGAGGTGACTCCGGCTGATGCAAACGTCACAGCCACGTCCTCATTTCTAGGGAGGAATATCTGACTGGAGACAGATTTAAACTACAGTTTGCTGGGCACAGTGGCACCCACCACCAGCGATTTGGGAGGCTGAGGCAGGAGATCACAAGTTTGAGGCCAGCTTCCGCAACTTAGAGAGGCCCCATCTCAAAACAAAAAATAAAATAGGCTGGGGATGTGGCCCGGTGGCAGAGCACCCCGAGGTTCAGTCCCAGCTACCAATAAACAGAGTTTAAGTCGCAGGAGCAACAGCAAAGGATCCTTGATGGGTGGCCTCCAGGTAGCTCTGAAGCCAGTTAGGATCCTCAGGTGGGGGTCTAAGATTTTACAGAACCGTTCTGGGGGTGGTGTAAGTGCCCTGTGGCTGCCTTAGCAGCAGGCTGAGACGCAGGCACGTGTTCTCTTGCAGTGTTGGAGGCCGGTCCAGAGTCTAGCTGCAGGCAGGCCCTCTCCTTCTGGAGGCTCCAGGGCAAGCCTGTCCCTTACTCTCTCTTGGCTTCTGCTAGGTGTCCACCCGGGTCTCCTGTCCTCTTCTGTTAGGCTCCACCCTAATCCAGCATAGATTACTGAGGAGAAGTAAATCACTTAACTTGATTGCATCTGCAAAGACTCCATTTTCAAATAAGGGCCCATTCAGAAGCGCTCAAACATCATCTATCTTTATCTATCTATCTATCTATCTATCTATCTATCTATCTATCTATTTATTTTTTGACACTGGGGACCGAACCCAGGAATACTTAACCACTGAGTCACTCCCCAGCCCTTTTTACTTTTTTATTTTGAGACAGGATCTCACTCGGTTGCTCAGCGCCTTGCTAAGTTGCTGAGGCTGGCTTTGAACTTGTGATCCTCCTGTCTTAGCCTCCCAAGTCGCTGGGACTACAGGCATGCACCACTGCACCTGGCGTGGAATGTGACCTTTTGGGAGGCCATGATTTTACCCTGGACAGGTGGTCTTCTTGCTCTAAACCAGCCCCCTGGGCCTCAGGTGTGAGGGATTGCAGTCCCTGGGAATGAGACTCAAATTTCCGAACTTCCAATTATCCTGGAGACAAGTCCACTGGGAGGTGGGGTCATCCCGAGGCCCTCGAGCCAGGCTGGCACCAGGCCGCCGACAGCTTCCTGTTTTCTCTTTCTTTTCTTTTTTCTGTTGCTGGAGACCAAACCCAGGGCCTTGTGTGTGCTAAGCACATGCTCTACCCCGAGCTGTACCCCAGCCCCCCGTTTCCTCCTTGAATCTCCATTTGGTTTAGCCTCCAGTCCCCAGAGTAACCTTGATGTCACTTTATTAAATTGAAAGTGTTTCATTTCACCATTTCAATATCCTGACACAGAAGTTGGACTTTAAATGAGAGTCCACCCTTTACTTGTGGGCGAGATCTATAAATGGAGTAGCCACAGGAACAGAGCACACCCATCCTGTAGACTAAAGAGTGATGCCCACCAGGCCCAGCCACAGGCACACAGCTGGAGTCCCGGCACCTCCGGAGGCTGAGGCAGGAGGATGGCAAGTTCAAAGTCGCCTCAGCATCATTTTGGTGAGGCTCTGGCTCAAAATAAATAGTAAAAAGGGCTGGGGATGTGACTCAGAGGTAAAGTACCCTGGGCTAAAACAAGTGAGAGCCCCTGGAAACCAGTTATTAACGGACTTCTCTGAGGCCATATGCAAATCAGGCTGCTATTGATGGCATCACCATGGAAATGAGAGGGGCAGTTTTGCTTTTCACTTTCTTTCTTTTAAGTCAAGATCATTTCCCTTCACAAAGCCACACTTCGCCCTGGACCCCCATTTCCCCACCTGAGGCAGCCTCGGGCCCAGGGCCATCTGTGGACCGAGAAGGTCTGTTGGCCCCAGAGTTTGCAATGACAGAGGTATCAGTAGAGATCTGTAAATCAGTGCCCCAGAGAGTGACTTCCACTCCAGCCATAGATCTACATTCTGTAAATAAGATTTTGCATGAAAGGCTGTTTGGAAGAAAAGAGCAAAGCACCCCCACCCCTTCAAAATAGGGGATTCTCAGCTGGGCATGTGGCGCCCACCTGTGATCCCAGCCACTTGGGAGGCTGAGGTAGGAGGATAGCAAGTTCAAGGCCAGCCTCAGCAATTTAGCAAGGCCCTAGACAACTCAGTGAGACCCTGTCTCAAAATATATAAAGGGCTGGGGGCGTGGCTCAGTGGTTAAGCACCCCTGGGTTCAATCCCCGGTACCTACCTATGCCACCTAAAAGAAAAAATCTGAAGCTTTAAAAGAGGCACAGATGAGGTCATCTTTGCTGGAGTCTGCACGGAGCTCACCGGGAGGCGGCTGTGGGCTCTCCGCTTCAGTCTCAACCTGTTGACCTAGTGCTGCTCTGTCCCAGCCGCCCTGGGGACGGGACCCAGGGCCTCCTATCTCCTGCTGAGCTACACCGCAGCCTGCATTGCTTTTTAGACAGCAACGTCCTTCTACACGGACCACCACGTTCTGTTGACCCACTCAACTGCTGACACACATGTGGGCCGCCGCCTGCCTCAGCCGGAGGGTGCAGCTCAGGCGAGTGTGGACTGGCGTCTGCTAGGGCGTCTCAGAGCTGCCGGAGCGTGCGGAAGTGGAGGCGCTGAGCCGGGGGTGACCCCTCGGCTTTGGGAAGGAGGGCCAGGCCAGGACTTTCTTACGGTGCTGATTAATCTGCTTTCTTTCTCTCCTCAGCCCGTCACCTCCCAGGTATCAGCCCGAGATCTCCACTGCCCCAAGTCCTGCAGGTTTTTTCCCAAAGGCCCAGAGTTCTCATCATGTGCCACCCCCAAGCACCCCAGCCTGTCACCTACTTCCTCTTGGCCAGCGGGTCATCCAGGTGGACCAGAAGGTGGTGGAGACCCAAAAGCCAGGGGCCCAGCGCCCCGCAGCAGATGTACTCAGAGCTGAGGGCACGTGAGATTGGAGCGTGGGGCTGGGGGGCATGTGGGGTGCAGATGAACAGAGATCTGCTGGGTGGGCAGAGAGGACCAGGGCAGGACAGTGGGGGACAGGAGACAGGCTGCCTCCCCGAGGCCATCCTTAGTCCCACGGGACCTGGCCACAGGGCAGACCCGCCCCTGGCTGGGGGCCTCCAGGGCAGGTGTGGGAGAGCTGGGGGGTGCAGGTGACCAGGCCTGACCTCCGGCTGACGGGCACTTTTCTCAAGTTCCAGCGGTAGATCTTCACAGCCACCAGCACTGCAGCCAGGTGCCCAGCTGCAGAGGTGGACAAGACACTCTCGGAGGCTGAAGAAGTTGCCCTGGGCCATTTCAGACGTCTCTTTGACAGGCTGCAAACCCTGCCTTCCTCCAGCTAGATCCTCACTCAGGCGTCCTTGGGAGCCAGGGCAGTGGGAGCCAGGACCTGTTGCCTACCTCGCTGGGGGTGGGACCAGGACCCCCATCCACTCTCTGACTCACACCTGAAGAAGACCAGCCACATCTGTAATCCTCAGCTCAGGAGGCTGAGGCAGGAGGATTGCAAGTTCAAGGCCAGCCTCAGTATCTTAGCAAGACCCCGTCTCAAAATAAAAAGTAAAAAGAAAAAGAAAAAAAAAACCGTTGGGGATGTGGCTGGGGGGCTTGGTGCCCCGGGGGGGGGGGGGAGGAGAAGAAGGAGGAGGAGGAGGAGGAGGAGACCAACGAGAAGAGGCAGCCTAGAGGCCGGGGCACCCTGGGCCTGGAGCCCAACAGGTGGAGGTTTGGTTCCCATGCCACCGGCTGTGGAGTCCAGGAGGAGACACTCAGCCTCTGGGCCTCACTTGCTTCATCTGAAAAGAGAATGGAACCATCCCAGGGGTCCTAAGGAAGGATCAGGTGAGAACTTTTGTAGGATAAACCAGCCCTGGGATCAGGACTAATCCCTAAGGATGTTCAGAGCATTGGGCAGAAGGTTCTAGAGTCCAGAGTCTTCTAAGATAGTTCTTGTCCCAAAGAAGCTCTCTTCCAGGCAGGGCTGTGGAGAGGACAAAATCAGGACCATTTGGTGTGACAGACCATCTTTTTTGTTTTTTTGGGGGTACTGGGGATGGAACCCAGGGATGCTCTACCACTGAATGACATCCCCAGCCCTTTTTATTTTTAAAAATATTTTTTAGCTGTCGATGGACCTTTATTTTATTTATTTATATGTGGTGCTGAGACTCAAACCCAGTGCCTCACACATGGGAGGCAAGTGCTCTGCCACTGAGCCCCAGCCCCAGCCCTTATTTTTTATTTTGAGACAGGGTCTTGCTAAGTTGCTGAGGCTGGCCTCGAACTTGCAATCCTCCTGCCACAGCCTCCTAAATTGCAGGGATTACTGGTGTGTGCCACTGAACCCAGCTGAAATTCAAATTTAACTGAGTACTTTGTATTTTCATTTGTTAAGTCTGGCAACTGAAATACATACTACACAAGAATAAAACTAGAAGTGAAATTTTACAGTACACGTTGCAAGTAGACTGGAAGCCCAGACTGAGTAATGGAGTGGGTACTCTGGCAGGCTCCCTGGAGGAGGCAGCAGTCATAGCTAAGCCTCCTGGCTGGTTAGGCATTTTGTAAGGAGGAGACTCACCGGGGAGGGGGTTTAAAACCTCCCAGTCATGACTATACGACCCTCTCCCACCCCGCCAGAGCCAGTGTCCCAGCTGCAGGCTGACTTCACCTTGCAGGACAGAGGGTCAGGCCCTAGGGTGGCGATGTCCCACCCATCACCTGCAGCCTGGTTGGACAGGGCGGGCACCTCCCCAGGCGGCAGATGCTGCTCCACAGGCGGCCTGCCAACTTCTCCTTCCTGGCATCCCGGATGTTGGGCTGGTTCTAGTGCCAGGCTGTAGGCAGTGCAGTGCTCAGAGCAGCACCTTTGACTCGTGCCCCCAGGTGAGGGGAGGTGGCACTTCTGGGTGGGGCCGGGATCCTGCTAGAGTGTCCAGAAGGAGGGGGTGGGAAGCAGAGCAGGAAGGGCCCAGGAGGCAGCCGTGTAAAGGGGGCCCACACCCTCTGCCCCTGCTGCCACAGGTGAGCTGCCCCTGGGCCCCACCCTCGTGTCGGCCACAGCCCCATCTCCATTGCAGCTGTTGCCTCTGGGTGCTGGCTGGATAAGGTGTTCAATGCAGGGAGAGGAGAGCTGGCGGCCACCCTGTGGACAGCTGGGCCCTGCATCGGGGCAGTGGGCAGTGGGCTTGTAGGGCAGAGCTGCTGCCAAGGCCAGAAAGGCTGTGCCAACAGGCATGACTCCAAGGCAGGCATGAAGGGCCTGCTGTGGGCGGAGGGTCTGCCGAGCCTCGAGCGTCACTGACGCCTGACACTGACCGGCACACCCAGCCACCCTGCAAGGGAGGCAGCTGACCTCTGGCTGGGGCACTTTCTTCTGTTCCTCGTGACTCAGATGATGCCTCCCAGGGACCAGGGTGAGCCAGGAGTTTCTGCCCCCCGTGGGAATCACATGGGTTAGTCTCTCTCTCGAAGGTGGTGAAGGAACAGGACTGCGCCTCCTGGGGTCCCCTCTCCAGGACCATCCCTTCATTGACAGTGAAGTGGCACGGGCCTTGTGTGCATGCCCACGGCAAGCCTTCAGTGGTGGCTGCTCCTCCTCCTTGAGCTGGGAGGCGGCCTCTCCTCGGGGCCTCTTCCTGGCAAGGCTGTCCTGTTCAGAGGCCAGATCATGGGGTATAGACAGACGGGCTCCACTGACCACCCTCTTGGCATTCAGCCCACTTGGTTAGGTGGGTGAGTAAGCTTCCTGCCTCTCCTCATGCCCAGGGCTCTGAAGCAAGCACTGGGCACCATGAAACTCCCAGAGGCCTCCTGAGGGGTGACTGACAGGTGAGCTCTCCTGACCTGAACCCTCAGCTCCTTTGTCATGAAGGAGGTAACAGAGACACAGGAGGAGCGTCCCCTGCCCTGCCGCCTGCAGGGGAGCCCACCACTGGAATGAAGAAGCCCTGGGGGGGGGGGGATGCAGGGACAAAGGACAGACAGCGAGAACACGGACCAGACCAGGCTTCGGAATGGTACTGATTTGTGGGAACAGAGGCACCTTCTCCTGCCTCCTCCGCATCACAAAGCAAAAGAAAAAAGGAAGGAAGGAAGGAAGGAAGGGAACCCAGGGAAGATGGAACCCAGGGAAGACGGGGTTCATTTGTTTGCTTGTTTGTTTCTGTGGTTCTGGGGATTGAACCCAGGGGCACTCTATACTGAGCTACATCCCCAGGCATTTTCTCTTATAAAAAATACTTAAATTTTTTTTTTTCATTCTCTATTTGCCGATGGACAGCTTGCCTTTATTTTACTTATCTTTATGTGGTGCTGAGGGTTGAATCCAGCGCCTCACAGGTGCTGGGCAAGCGCTCTGCCACTGAGCTGCGGCCCCTGCCCATTTTTATTTTGAGACAGGGCCTTGCTACATTGCCCAGACTGTCCTTGAACTTGAAATATTCCTGCCTCAATCTCCCGAGTGGCTGATGTTACAGGCACGTGCCACCATGCCTGGGGGAAACTATTTACTATCTAAGCAAATGCTTTGCCACAGAGGTACATCCCAGCCTGCTTTTAACTATTCACACGGATCCCACGACAGCATGTTAAACATGAACAATAAGATTTATTAAAACACAAAAACAGGTGGGCATGATGGTGCATCCTGTCATCCCAGTCCCTCCTGAGGCTCAGGCCCCAGTCTGGGTGACAGAACCTCAGCAACTTAGCATAAGACCCTGTCTCAAAATGAAAAATAAAAAGTGCTGGTATGTAGCTCAGTTGTAAAGTGCCCCTGGGTACAATTCTCAGTTCAAAAAAAGAAGAAAGAAAATGAAAGGCTCTTAGGGTGTCGGGGCCTTCAGCATTTTAGGGGTCCATGGGAAGGACATCTGTGTGGACCCCTGTGCTCACCTCCCAGCAGGTGGTCACCATCCATCCAAGTGGTCACCCAAATGTGGGGAGGAGGCGGAGGACCACTGGCGACAGGCCAGTTCCTCCACACCCCTGCCCCCCTCTGCCCTGTGGCAGTCCCCTGGCTCACCTCTCTCTGGCCTGCTCACTAGGTACAAGGGCCCTCACCATCCTCACCTGCCACTAGCAAAGGGTGTAATTCTCTCTGGGAGGCAGCACGTGGCCCCCGGAGACGCCCCTCGGTTCCCACGGTCCCCACCCCGGAGCTCTCCGGCTCCCCGTCTCAGAGGCTCTGAACATTTTTTTGGTGTGGGTCGGAGGGCGCCGGGAAGAGGCCAGAACTGAGTTGACCTCGGCCCCTGCCTGCCTCCCTGGGAGCCTGGGCTGTCTGCACACCTCCTAGGGACCTGGAAGCGCGCGGCCACTCGGCCCAGCCCGGGAAGGGTGAGGAAGAGGGGGTCTCGACCCGAGGAGGAGGAGCGACGGGGAGGGGTCCCGGGCTGTGGCTGCTTTTTGCTTTTTCTCGGTCGCGCGGCTGGGCACCGACCCCACCCCGCACGCGGCGGCGCGCGCTGTCCCCGCGCTGCGGCCGGGCCGGGTGCGGCACGGGGGGGGGGGGCGCGCGGGGCGGGGCCAGCGGCGTCCGGCGGGCGTCCTGGAGGAGGGCCCGGGAGGCCGGGGGCGGGCCCTCTTCCTCGGCACTGCGTCGCCTCCGACCCCCGGGGACGCACGGTCGCGCTGCACTCCTCGGCCGACCCGCGCGCCGCCACCTGCCGCCGCCGCTCGCCGGGGCGGCACTTTGCCCTCGGTCCCCGGCGGCGCGGCCACGCCCCTCGGCCGGGCGGGGCGGGACCCGGCTGGTTCCTGGCGTTCCGCGGCGCGGCGGCGGCGGCGACATGGAGAGCGGGGCCTACGGCGCGGCCAAGGCGGGCGGCTCCTTCGACCTGCGGCGCTTCCTGGCGCAGCCGCAGGTGGTGGTGCGCGCCCTGAGCATGGTGAGCGGGAGCGGGCGGGCGTCCCGCGACCCCCGCCCGGGAGCGCGACAGGTGGCGGCGCCCGGCGTCCCGGGCCTGCGGCGCGCGCGGGGCTGGCGTCCAGGGGCCAGCCGTGCCCTCCAGGTCCCCGCCCGCCGTCCCCTGGGGTCCCGGGCCCGCCGTCCCCGCACCCCTTGCCCCCGTTGCCGCGGCGCGGTGCCGGGGAGGCGCCGCGGGGAGCAGGCCTGTCGCCCTGCTGGCAGTGGGAGGATCTTGGGGCAGCTCCAGAACAGGTGGCCGCGCGCGCGACTCCCAGCTTGGGAGTTCACGGGAGGGGACTTTCTGGAGCCACATGGGGCCAGGGAGGGGGCTGCCTGGTGCCCCGAAACAGTTTCCTCCCCACCCAGGAGCCGGCCCGAGTCCGCTGCCCTCCCCAAGACCCGGGGACTCAAATGTGCGCCCTCCCCGTGGGCCGGGCAGGCCCTGTAGTTAAGGGGGGGGGTCCTCGCCTATGGAACCCGAAGGTGGGGGGAGCCCCGCCTGACTGTGAGGTCTGAGTGGTGCTGCGCTGGGAAGTGCCCAAGGAGCAGATGCTCTGCGGGTCGGGATGGCAGTGCCAGGAGGCCTGTGGGCACTCTGCTCCCAGCACCCGGAGATCCGCCTCCATCTCCAGCTGGGATAGGGCTGTGAGTTCTAGCCCCAGACGCCTATTAAGAGCTCCCTGAGAGGACCTGCAGGGCTGGGCAGGCCAGGGCTGGGCCATAGGGGTCTCAGGGAGCCAGGTGCCCACTGACTGACCCACATTGTCCTGAGGTGGGGTGGGCATGGGCAGTGGCATTGAAGATTGAGAAGGAGATGGGGTGATGTGGGCTATTCCCACTGGACTGGAGTCCCTCTGGCAGATCCAGCTGGTCCTTCCCCATGCTGCCCAATTTCTCCAGAGCACAGGGCTGTGTCCCAGGCCTGTGGGTCACACCACCTGGAGCACCTGGTGCAGGCAGGGCACACTTTGGGGCGGGAGACCAGAGGGCCCTGGGAGGGGAGGGACCAGAATGCTGAAAGGCCAAGACCGGAAGTCCTTGTAGGGAGACGCTGGCCCACTAGGGAGTTGAGTCTGGACCAGGGAAGAGTTAGAGGGGCCAGGGCTACTGCTGGAGGGGGGCTTAGGGAGGTGGGATCCCCAAGCATTCTGGCGTGGCTTTCCAGAGGTGGGGAGCCCAGGCAAGTTGGCCCAGTGGGGGTACAAGATGATGAGAGGAGGGGTTATGACTGTGGAAGTTTTGTTTAAGACTCATTCACAGCGGGGTGGGTGGATTGCCCTTCAGCTTCATTTCAGACTGTTTGAGATGACCCTGTAGGCAGGCAGCTGGGCACAGGTGTTCCCCAGTCCAGGAGTCCCTGGGCAGGGCTGGGGATGCTAGCCTCAGGGGTCAGCTGTAGTGGGAGAGGCATGTGTTCACACACCCTGCCTGGGTCTCGGTTCTCTGGGTCTCAGAAGGGGTCCCCACTGGCTGTGCCCCCAGAGGGGCTCATTCGGGGCCACCCACCGGATGGCCTCTTTCTCTCCTAGGTCTTCGCCTTGATCGTGTTCTCCTGCATCTTCGGCGAGGGCTACAGCAACACCCCCGAGTCCCCCCAGCTGTACTGTGTGTTCAATCACAACGAGGACGCCTGCCGCTACGGCTGCGCCGTCGGTGTGCTGGCCTTCCTGGCCTCCGCCTTCTTCTTCGTGGTTGATGTCTATTTTCCCCAGATCAGCAACGCCACTGACCGCAAGTACCTGGTCATTGGCGACCTGCTCTTCTCAGGTATCCATCTGTAGGAGTGAGACGCCGTGGTCCTAGGGCTTTAGGATTAAGGGACTTGGGAGGACTGGGCACAGTGGCCTCTGCCTGGAATCCCAGCGACGAGGGGATGAGGCAGGGTGGCAAGCTTGAGGCCGTGAGCTTCAATTTAGCAAAATCTTATCTCAAAATAAAAGGACTGGAGACAGCTCAGTGGTAGAGCACCCCAGGGTTCAATCCCCAGCACCAAAGAGAGAGATGGGGAGGGAAAGAGTAGCTCAGGGCACCTAACCCCCACTGAGCAAGCAGGCTTTGCCTGTGTCCTGTGACCCCTGACCTGCACAGAAGGCTTCCTGACTGTCTGCTGAATCCTGTGGGTGGTGGGGTCCAAGGCGGGACTCGGTCCTCTTAGCCCTGCCCCAGCTCCTGGGCTCACAGGCCCTGAAGCTTTGGGAGATTCCTGCCTCGGCCTCCCCCTGCCAGCTCCCTGGAAAGCCCCTGCCACTCCCTGGAGCTCACCCTCCGGTCCCTTCCCTAGCTCTCTGGACCTTCCTGTGGTTTGTTGGTTTCTGCTTCCTGACCAACCAGTGGGCAGCCACCAAGCCGGAGGATGTGTTGGTGGGGGCGGACTCGGCTCGGGCAGCCATCACCTTCAGCTTCTTCTCCATCTTCTCCTGGGTAGGTAGCTGGGCAGCAGGCGGGTCTTGGTCCTCAGTGAAGACTGAGGGGGATCAGGGCCCCCTGTCCTGCCTAAACCTCAGGTCTCCCTGCAGGGCGCACTGGCTTCCCTGGCCTACCAGCGCTACAAGGCCGGAGTGGACGCCTTCATCCAGAACTATGTGGACCCCACCCCAGACCCCAACACAGCCTATGCCTCCTACCCCAGCGCATCAGTGGATAACTACCAGCAGCCTCCCTTCACTCAGAGTGCAGAGACCACTGAGGGCTACCAGCCGCCGGCCGTGTACTGAGTGGCCGCAGGGAGGGCGCCCGGGGCCTCCCCCTGCCCTGGACTTTTCCTGCGGGCTGCCTCCTGGAGCTGTGGTTCCTCCTCTGGCCCATACCTGCTGCCGCTGATGACCAGAGGGCCGGCCTTCCCATGCCTGCCTGTGCTGGCAGAACACCCAAGTGCCTGTGCCCAAAGGGCTTTGCAGCCACGCACCCCACGGGCATTTTTTAGGACAGGGTTTTTAGTTAGAAGTTTTCTCATTGCTTATTTTTTTTTTGGCGATGCTGGGGCTTGAACCCAGGGCCTTGCTCTTGCTAGACAAGTGCCCGACCACTGAGCTATACCCCAGCCCTCAATGCTTTTAATGACTTGCTAACCCTGCTGGAGTCGCCAGAAGCAGGAAGGTGTGGATGATGTGCCCTGTTGATAAGGGCCCAGCATCCCCCCATCCTGAAGGAGCCCAGCCCAGCCCAGGGCTGTAGTAGCCAGTTATTTGGGTTTTCTGCCAAAGACGGGTTGGGAGTCCTTATATCTGTGTTTGGTGCTGGCTCAGGCTCCCTGCCTCCTCACTCAGGTCTGCCACTCTGGTCCCTTGCCTGGCCTCAGGCTGGGCCAAGCTCACTGCTGAACCCTCGGGGTCACCACTGTGCCAACCTCTGGGCTGGCTCCCTCCCTGACAGCCGTGGGGTGGGGCTGCTGCCACCCCAGGCATGACTGGTAGCACTTCCTGCTGGCCCCTACCAGGGCAGCAGGGAGGGACTTTGCCTGATAACACCCAGCTTTATGTAAATATCCTGCAACTTCGGTTTAAGAGTATGGGGAGGGCAGGGGCACCCCACAATATTCGAATGTACTAAAAAAGCCTTGGGAGAAGATGCCCTTGCCCTGAGGTTGAGTCTGGATTAGAGATGGAATAAATGTTTTTCTTTCAGTTTCTACTGTCCTTGGTTGGATCTCAGCCTTGGGAAGAATTCCAGTGTGGCACCTGCCCTGGGGGCCTGGGCTCCTGGGCTTGCATTTTGAGTGAGGCCTGGCAGTGACTCCTGCATGCCTAGCGACACACCCCCTCTGCACACTGCCTCCCCAGCACCCAAAATAGCACCTGTGCTCAGCTTGTAAACAAGACAGGTTTTTCTGGACTGCCTTGCCAGTGCTGGGGGTTACCTGGGAGCTGCCCCTTTCCTCCCCTACTCCATAGTGAGGGCTGCCCCAGAAGGGTGATGGACTAGGGCCTCCACTTTCCCACAGGTGAGGGCTGAGCCTCTGGACTCCCCTGGGGAGGGAGCAGGCCCATCTCTGGCAGGAGACACACAACGTCTGGCTTCCCTTTTTGGGCTGTTAACAGAAGTCAGAAATGGGCCCTGAGAGTTTCAAAATCTCAAGCACAAACCAACAGGGCCCCACTAACAGGGTTTGAGCCACAAGTATCATGAGCACCCTCATGGGTGGGGCAAAGCAAAGTCCCCTGACACTAGGGACTTGGGAAGAGGTGTGTGGCCCAGACCTACAAGAACATTACAGCTCCAGTGGACCCTGGCCTCCAAAGGAGCCACCCACAGCCTGCTCTCCAGGGCAGCTGAGCCATCTTCTTGGCTCCTGAACTATCAAGTGTCATGTCTTACAAATAAAACCTGGCCTCTCAGCCCCAGCACATCACGCTTCTCCAATCTGGGACCCAGGCTCCTTCACCCATTTTTGTCCTGAAACCAGCCAGCCAGCCAAGCAGGCACAGGATTAGGACACACTCCACAGTCAGAGGTAAGCAGTACAGACCGTGGGGGACTCCCCTCCCCGCCATGTGACAGCTGTCTCCATAACCCTGGGGGCCCAGGCCGGAGATGACTTCAGCCACTGGTGACTTTTTTTTTTTGGCTGCACTGGGTGAAGCACCAGGGCCTTGTGCACTCCACCACTGAGCCACACCCAGCCCCCAACTAGTGGGTCTTAATGGTATTTATTTACACTATGGTGAAAAAATGCATGGCCCCCTCCCTCCCCTCCCCTCCCTCTCTACGAAACAAGCCCCTGGGGTCTGAGCCCCAGCTGGCTCTTGCCACCCATGTGAAAGATGATGTCATTCTGCAAAACATAGGAAGGGCTTTCAGCCCAAAGTGCAGCAGTGGTCAGCAGTGCAGGTGATCCTCAGGAGCAGCCCCGGGCTTTGTGGGGATGGGCTGAAGTGTGGTGCAAACTTTCCAAGGAGAACAGAAACCCGCGGTGGCGGCACCAAGGAGGAAGCCAGCCCGCAGCACCCATGTCACAACAGCATGCCACTCTGCCCTCAGCTGCAGCAGCCAGACCCCAAACCACCAGACACGCCGGCTCCAGCCCAGGGCAGACCTTCCCAGCAGCTGGGAGAACTGAGAAAGGAACCAGGGAGGGAAGATGTGACAGCAGACCAGGCACAGGGAGGACTCCTGTCACATGGCAAGCCCCACAGGCAGACCCTCCTGCCCTCCCCAGGCTCCTCAGAAGGCCACACAGCGTGCAGGGGCAGCAGCAGGGCCGGGGGCAGGTCCTGGGCCTCAGTTGGTGGGGCTGCACTGCAGGACCTGCTGCGGGGCAAAGAGCTTCCGGACAGCGGCGGCTTCCCCAGCCCTCCCCAGTGCGGGGCAGTTCTCCTTGTTGTCCTGCCCTGCAGGCTGCACGGAGGACTTCTTGAAGTAGCAGAGGCGACACACGGAGTGGTACTTGTCTGCTCCTCCGATCACCTCGACCTGGCAGCAGGGACCAGAAAGGCATGGGAGGAGGGGCTGGGACAGGGAGGGGGCGGTCCCACGCCCTCCCCGCCCCGCAGCAGAGGGCGGGCGCTACCTCCTTCTCCAGGCCCAGCCTCTTGGTGTAGGCGGCTTCCCGGAAGCACTCCATGCACACAGCGGTCAGCTTCACCACGCTCTCGGCCAGGGGCACCAGGTTCAGGATGGCACCAAACGCCTGCGACACGCGGGACGGGAAGTGCTCAGCCACCTGCCAGGCTCCACCCTTTGACCCGCAGCACTGGGGCCAGGGACGTTCGCCGGGACCTCACTTCCCCCGAGTGCCACACCCCGCGGACCCTCTGCCCACGCAGGTGCCTGCGGCAGCAGATGGCACCCCGGCTGGGCAGACCCGCTCTGTGCCCTGTGCCCGCTGAGGCCCTCTCCCTCCTCGTCCCACCCGAGACCCGGGCCAGGCCGCACCTTCCTCTGGAAAGTCCCGTCCAGCGCGGCCACGATCACCGTCTTGCCGGCGTTGGCCATGGTCTCACAGAACTCCACGATGTCAGGGAACTGGGGGGACCCGGAGAGTGAGCTCGGGCCAAGCAGGACCGCCTCAGCCAGCACTCTCTCCAGGGTCCCCAGGGCAGGGGACCAGGTCACCCACACGCCCTCCCAGCTGTGGGTGACGGGCATGCCCGCCCACTGCCCAGCCCCCTCCACAGCAAAGCAGCAGCCAGGTACCAGTACTGGCACTGGACTGCTGCACTGGAAGGGGCATCTCCACATGTCCTTCCCTCATGGCCCTCAGAAGGACCCAGCCCTGCCAACACCTTGCTCTTGGACTTCTGGCCTCCAGAACCATCAGAGAATCAAGCTACGGCGCTGTTCGAGGTCCCGATGGGGCTCCAGGCGTGCAGGTCATGCTACCATGGACCTTCAAGGGATGAGCCAGTCGGGCAGCAAGGAGCCCTCCAGGACAAGCCTGCCCACTGGGTTGAGTTTCTGCATCTCCGGGGAACCTGCAGCCAGCCCGCCCTTCCTTTATTTTTGATAATTGGGGACTAAGCCCAGAAGGGCTTAACCACTGAGTCACATCCCCTGCCCTTTTATGATTTTTTTTATTTTGAGACAGGATCTCACTAAATTGCTTAGGGGCCTCACTAAGTTGTTGAGGCTGGCCTCAAACTTGGGATCCTCCTGCCTCAGCCTCCTGAGTCCCTGGGATCACAGGCGGATGGATCCCACCCAGCTCAGCCTACCATTTCTGAGAATCTTGATGGGGGAGGGATTAGGAGTCTGGAGGTGGGCTTTCATATTCTTCCACACCTGCCAAGAGTTGGGTGCTCACAGCAGGGCTGGAGCGAACCCTGGCACAGAAGTGCACTGGCACCCAAGGCTCAGGACAAGGGCCACAAAGGACAGCAGTGGAGGACATGACAAAGTGAAAAAAGCCAAAAGTCCCCAAATAGCAAAAGACTAAATGACACGCCAGAGACAAAAACCAAGCAGGTGAACAGGAGAGAGATTCACGGGTGGTCAGGAACCAGCCAGCTACTGCACCTCCACCACCAACAACAACAGAAAAGTGAAATGGGGGGAACCCTAAAAAGGCAATTCCCAAGAGAAATAAATACAAATAACCAAGAAACCCGGGAAGTGCCAGCCACGCTGGCCGTCAGCACTGGGAAGCACCGTCGGGGGCCTGTGCACACACCCAGAGGCCCGGCAGGTCCCGCCTGTCCTCTGCTCTCCAGGCCACCCTCCAACTCTTGATTCTTTCCAGGTTTAAGGTCCAGGCCTTGGCCAGCAGCTGGCCTGCAGCCACCTAAGCTGCCTCTCCACCCTGATGGCTCTATCACACCTCGGTCCCCAGACAGCCACAGGCAGGGCTTCCCCAATGCTGGGCGCCCGGGTTCCTTCAGGCCCTCTCTGGCCATCCCCAGAGGGCATGTCCTGCCTTAACTCTCCATGCCCCCGAACTCACAGCGGTCACCATCTGACGAGTGTAAGCTCAGGCAGGGGCTGCGGCTTGGTGCTGCTGCCCCACAGGACGAGCTTAGGAACCGAGTGAGACTGGCGTCTTGGCCCAGCAACACACACAACGGTCACAGCTTGTGATACGGACCCACTCTGTAGAAATACGTACCCTAAAGATCAGAAGGATCTAGGTCAACATGTTTTCTTCTTTTTCTGGGCGGTGAGAGAAAGAGCCCTCAGCAGCCAGAAACTGGCCTGGCACTTAGAGGACCCTGGTGGTGGCTACAGTCAGTTTCTTTTTGGACTGGGGATTGAACCCAGGGGCACTCCACTGCTGTGCTACACTTCAACCCTTTTTATTTTATTTGGAGACAGGATCTAGCTAAATTGCCCAGCCTGACCTTGAATTTGTGATCCTCCTGACTCGGCTTTCCAAGCTGCTGGGATCACAGGTGTGACCGCCCACCTAGCTAAACAATTGATATTAGGAGCCAAAATCAGGCAAGGCCACTCTGACCAGGATGAATGAGACAGACCCCCCCCCCCCCCCAGCCCTGTCTGAGCAGACAAAACACTATCTAAGCCAGAAAGCAGTGGACGCCCAGCAACTCACCACACATCACAGCTTGGGATATGAACCGCTCTGTAAAAACATGTACCCACAAAGATCAGAAAGGTACTGGGGCCAACCTAGCCATACACTGGTGGCCTCCTTCCACACACCCTCACCTCAGCTTTCCGAGGGCACCTGCTCAACGTCAAAGCCCTCCTCCAGAGGGACCCCGCGGGACCCCAGGTCCCCACCCACACCAGGCAGGAGAGCCAGGCTGTCAGCCCGAGGGCTGTTCCCGGTGGTCTCTGGCTGGAAGACACCCACACAGCAAATGACGGACTCCCATGTATGCGCTTCACTTTTCCTAAATTAAGCCTGTTGTGTGTGTAGCAAATAGAAATAAAACACACAACGATGAGAAACAGACAGAAACGGTCTCCATATTGCCACGCGGGGCCACGGGCACTGTGAGCACACACCCTGGCTGGGGCTTCAGCAGACCCTCACTGCCCTCCACAACCACGGGAAGGTCGTGGGGGGGGAGGGCCCTTTTGGTCTGCTTCACCACAGGACAAGGGCCCAGCAGCTGGGCAGTCTGGACATGTTTTTCTTTTGTTTGTTTATTTTGGTGGCCCTGTGCGTGCTAGAGGAGCACTGAGCGCGGAGCTAGTCTCTGGCCCTGGTGATAGTTTTACACTGGGTGCAATAATTCCTCAAGAGCTGGAATCCAGGCTCTGGAACACCAGGGAGCTTCCCAGAGCTGACTCCCGGTCCTCAGGTCCATTCTGAGAATACAGCGGGAGGGGACAGGGAACGTCCACCCTCTGTCCAAACCCAGCTCACCTTCTTGCCGGGAATCACTGTGCTCAAAAGCACATCGAGGATCTGAAATGTGCCTGGAATGCCCAAGGCGGGTGGGCAGATGCCAGCTCCCAGAGGTCAGGAACCCAGAGTGGGCACCGGCAGCTCTGAGTCCATCTCAGAGAGGAGAGGCCCCACATGTGGGGTAGGGAGCCTGTGACTTACCAACCAGCCCAGCTTCTCCCTCCAGGGAACAGAGCAGGCTCTGCCTGGATGACGGGCCCTGCTCAAGCTGTAGGCTTAGGTCAGCAGAGGTGACATAAGTGACTTCTAGACTGGCCCATGAAAACCCACACCCAAAGTGTGCTCTGGATTTTCCTTTCCATTCTGAATGGGACCCCGCTGTGATAGTGGCCAGCCCCATGGGCAGGTTCTCCATCAATCGGGTTGGAGCCACATAGGACCACGTAAGAAATAAGTTCCGACTGTGTGTCACGCTTTTATCAAATCACCATGTGGCATACCTTGAATATATTCCATCTTCACCGGACGATTAAAAAAGAAATGTGTGGGCTGGGGTTGTGGCTCAGTGGTAGAGCACTTGCCTAGAACACAGGAGGCCCTGGGTTCAATCCTCAGCACCATATAGAAATAAATAGTTAAGAATATCGTGTCCATCTGCAACTAAAAAAAAAAAAAAAAGTCAGCCTGTAATCCTAGTGATTTGGGAGGCTGAGGCAGGAGGATAGAGAGTTTAAAGCCACCCTCAGCAACTTAGCAAGGCGCTTAGCAACTCAGCGAGACCCTGTCTCTGAATAAAAAGGGCTGAGGATTGGCTCAGCACCCCTGGGTTCAATCGCTGGTCCATCCTGGGGATTGGAAAAAAAATGTCCATCCTGCTCAGCCTCTGTTATTTGGGGTGCATTTGTCGTAGTAGCTTTCACTGCCCTCCCTAATGGACTGGAGGTGAAATCAAACCCGCCTAGGGGATGAATTAAACTAAGGCCCACTGAGAGCGGGCTTCAGCTTCATTCATCCAAGATAAACCTGCAACAACAAAACCCCCAAAGCACAGGTCAGGAACCGAGACCAAGGACAGCCTGCAAACTCCACCCGGGAACATGCTTCTGAAGCAATAGAAACGCAGTCAGCTGGAAAGACTAACCCCGGACTTTTCAGACGGACTATAGAACAAGGGATTAAAGGCACGACCAAAAGAGTAGATTGTTGAGCTCCCCTGGACACCCTGTTCTCCAAGACCAGCCAGACGCCAGCAGCCTTCCCGCGGAACACAGCGGTGCCACACCTTGCAAAGCAGCAAGGCTGACGGGCCAGCCCAAACCAGGAGGCGACCACGTTTTCACCTTCCCACCCACACATCCTGGCTGCAAGAACTGCGAACGGACACGCTTCAGCAAGGAGAAAGATCAACCCCCAGGAACAAGCAGAGGAGACAAGGAGCCAAACAACACTCCCCACACACAGTGTTAGAAATCTAATCTGTTTTGTTCACTAAACTATTTTTAAGGGTTAAAAAAACCCTATATGACTGTGACGTGGAAGCCAGTGAGGGAATTCAAGGTATTCGGACGCGAGTCGAGGCACGTGGGCCTTGTTACTGCACAGAACCTCTAAGCCAGCGCGGGCAGGGGAGGCCAGGACAAGCACTTACGAACTGCCCCTCGTCGATGCCGATGACAGCCGCACCCAGGGCCTCCTGGGCCGTGTCCCGCAGCAGGCAGGCCGGCAGAGCATCCATGGTGTTCCTGGCAAGGGAAGACAGGGTGAGCAAGGCCGAGGGAGGGGCCCGGGACTAGATATGTGTGTGTGTGGCCCTCGTGTGGCACCCCCGCCTGCAGAGCTCTAGAAAGCTAGCCGTTAGGGGAAAGGCTCTGGGAGAATACAGGACCCTGTTCAGAAGAGCATCTGTTTACACAAGTCATCTCAAAGTCCAAGATGAGCCTGCGAAGCTCTTCTCTCCCGTGCCCTGGGGGGGAGCGGGGCCAGACGGAGCCTTGGAAGCTCTACTCTCTGGTGCCCTGGGATGGGGGGCAGACAAGGCGAACTTTGGTTTTTGTCTTTTCGCAGTACTGGGATGGAATCCAGGGCCTCATGCATGCGAGGCCAGCACTCTACCACCGAGCCAGCCCAGGGGAGACTTCTCCATCAGGGATAATACCCACAATAGCTTTGGGGCCAACAAAATGTTTCCATTTCTTTTAAAATTCTGAATAGTCGGGTGTGGTGTCGCATGCCTATGATCCCAGCCACTTGGGAGGCTGAGACAGGAGGATCCTGAGTTCAAAGCCAGCCTCGGCAATAGCGAGGTGCTAAGCAACTCAGTGAGACCCTGTCTCTAATAAAATACAAAAAAGGGCTGGGGAAGTGGCTCAGAGGTTGAGTATCCTTGAGCTTCACTCCCTCGTACTGCCCTCCCCCCAAAAAGAAAATACAATTCAAATTTTCAAATATGTGAAAATTTTCAAATTTTCACATAGGAGCTACAGGTGTAGTTCAGTGGCAGAGCACATGTCCAGCATATGCAAGACCTCAATCCACAGCACCAAAAAAAAAAAAAAAAAAAAAAAAATTTTTTTTTTTTTGGGGGAGGGGGCCCACAAATGCCATGTGGCCTTGGGCAGCCCATAAACACCAAGTCAGGCTAAGAGGTAAGCAGTAGGGCAGTGACCCACAATTCCCTCCCTCTGGCACCTCCAGAAAACTAAGGAGCCCTCCAGGATCACATGGCTCCTCGCTGGCAGAGCCAGGCTGATCCCAGGCTTGAAGCGTGGACCTGCTGTCATCGGGCTGGGAGGATCCCACCCAGCCGTGCTATGAGAGGCATGTGTGGGAATGTTCCAGTGCCATTAGGCACTGTGCACCTCCCATCCCCCTAGCAGGCCATTTCAGGAATGGAAAGTGGTGCCCTGTCCTCTGCCTTTCCAAATAGTTTCTATGTTTTTCTACAATGTTGTTTTCTTCTGTTCCCATTTCTGCCTAATCTTCTGAACTAGAATTCAGAGAGGATAGTTTCCTGAAGGCTCAGCAGTTTGTAGCTGTATTTGTAAAAAATAAAGCACTTCATGACTACTACTTAGTTATTATCTTTCAATAATAACATTCAAGATCTGGGAAGAACATGAAACAACATTTTGTGCATTTCAAATTCCCTCTTCCTGGGCTGGGGTTAGGGTTCAGTGGTAGAGCACTTGCCTAGCATGTGTGAGGCACTGGGTTCGATTCTCAGCACCACACATGAATATGGAAAAAAAGTGAAAATAAATAAATTCCCTCTTCCCTCTCCAAGCACACAAGGCCAGAGGGAGGACAGGAGCAAGCCAGCTATGGCTTCGACCAGGGTGGTATCTCTCCTGTGAGAGTGACTTGTGACCCCTGGCAGGGCTCTGTGATCTGACCTGTCTGGAAGGCACATGGGACAATTGCCCATCACCTCCCCTGCTTTCACTGTCCTTCTGGATGCTCACCCCATCCTGGCAGTGGACACCATGGTCATGAACCACCAGGAAACAAACATGGAGGGGTACCGACCACATCAGCTAGCCTGGCCTGGCCAGAAGGGTTGCTTGAACCCTGGCACTCGCTCTAGGCTGGGCCACCGCTCCCTCCACGCCACCTCCCACCCCAGGCTGGGCCCTGGGCAGCTCTGTTCTTCAGACAGCCAAGAGCAACCTAGGGATGTAGGCCCAGGACGCACATGTGGCTCAGCACAGCTGTCACTGGGTCAGTTCCAGAGGACTGGGGAAAGGGTGCCTCTGGCTCACAATACCAGCCCTGCTCTGCGCCAAGGAACTAAATTTAACCTTGGCCCTGAGGTTGTAGGCGGAAATGTTCACAGGATTTAGGCAGATAAACATAACACCCGGAAGTGTGAAGGCCACAAGATGATAGGGAGCCAGCGAAGGACAGATGACCAAAACACGAAACAAGAATCAATGCACAGGCCAAACAAAACCCGTGTTCAGCCTCTGCACAGGTGCAAGCTCTAGAGCAGGGTTTCCCCATGTTGGGCACCATGGTCATTTGGGGCCTGGTTTTTCTGGGTGGCAGGGGCTGTCCTGGACAACACAGGATGTTTGGCAGCATTCTTGACCTCTACCCATCACAGGCTAGAAGCATCCTATCCCTCTTCAGCAGTGACAACTAAGGATGTCTCTAGACATTGTCAAACGGTCTGGGGGGTGGGGCAGGAATCTCTTCACCACTGCTGAGAACCACTGGCCCCAGGCCTAGGCCACCTTGCCAGGCACCCTGGAGGGCATGCCAATTTGAAAGCCAAGAATCAGAGTTACTAACAATCCCTGCTAAACAAAGCTGCAGTGTGTTCTGCGCCTTGGGATTTTCCAGGACAGGATCAGAGGGAGCAGTGACTGACCGGTCGTGAGTGGAGAAGCTGTTGCTGTAGCGGGTGTCTTTGGCATATTTGATGACAAGGCACTTGTACTGGGCGATCTGGAAGCGGCGGACTCGCCTCATCAGCTCGGTGCTGCAAGAGTAGAAGGTCAGGAGAGGCCAGCCTGCAAGGCAGCTCCCCATCGCCCTCTTGTGATGCACAGCCTGAATCCCACCACTATCCAAGAGCAGAGCGTGGGAAGAAAGGGCAGGGAGTCCACGGAGACACCGACCGGCCCACAGGGGGTGCTGGGCATCACTTGGGAGCCTGGTATCAGTAACACCCGCAGGGGGCTGGAGGCCAGAGTGCTCCATGAGTAGGGTGGCCAGGAATGGTGCCCAGCCAAATGGTCCCAGGAAGGACTGGAGGTGCAAGGTTCTTAGGGATACTGTGGAGACTGTGGGCAGAGGCTGGCTGCATTCCAGGGTCATCTTACCCCAGAGCTATTCAGAGTGAACACAGGGCAACAGGGAAAGCTCTTGCTTCTGGGAAAGAATTCCGACCCCGGGCTTCACCCTCTAGCAAGAAGCTTGGGAATGGTCCCTTGCCTGGGGGAGCAAGGCTCCTAGGCTTCAGGAAGTTTCTTTGGCCACATAAGGAAACAGCTATAGAGTGGGGGCGTCCAGACACTCATTGCCTGGCCACAACTGGACGCCCTTGTGAGGACGTAGAGGGGTAGGTGCTAAGCTGTGGCCAGCTGTGGCCGGCTGCAGAAAGGCTTGACCTGGCGGGCGGGCGCAGGCTTCCTCTGGGACCGGATTCCAGGGAGGACAGGAATGCGGGCGGGAAGGTGCAGGCCAAGGCGGTGCAAGCTGCTCTGGAGGGGACCTCCGAGAGGGGCGGCCGGCCGGGGTCGCGGGGGTCCCAGGGAAAAGGTCCGCCCACCCCGAAGGACCATTACCTTTTTCCCGAGAACATGGGCCCGAGAATCACCTAGGAGGGAAGGAGAAGTCACTGTGGCCCGCTCCACGCGGGCACCACCGCCCCGACCCCCGCATCCCCCGGCCCCGCACCTGGATCTGCCCCCGGGTCTTGCTGGGGGAGCCGGGCAGCACGGTGGGTAGGTTGACACAGCTCATGGCGGCTCGGAGACCCCTTCAGCAGGCAGCTGCACTCCCACTACGCCCCGCAGGTTCCCGCCGATTCGGCGCCCGTACCTTTAAACTGCGCACTGGCCAATCAGGAGCCTGCGCCACCAACGCAGCCAATCAGCGCCCGGCGGAGCCGGCGGGAGAGAGAACCTCAGTAAGTAACTCAAGAATTGGGCCCCCGAGGGGCGGGAACAGGGCGGTGGGCGGGGAGGGGCGTGGCCTGGACGGAGCCCCGCCCCGCTGCAGGGGGCACTCGCGGGCCGCGGGTCTTTAGTCTGCGGACTGCGGCATGGACGGGGCGGGCGTGGGTGGCGGCGGCGAGGCGGCCTGGAGGAAGCTGTCTGCGGAGGTAGGCGGGCTGAGGGGCGGCCGGGGCCGCGGGGTGCGCCCGGAGACGGGCTGGGAGTCCGAGGAGGGCCCGGGAAGCCGTCGGCAGGTTCTCGGTAGCCCAGGCCCGGGTCCCGCCGGGTCAGACTCCTAGGCCGGCGGGAGGCGGGAGCGCCGTGTCGGACTTAGATCTGAGTCTGCGCAAGGGTCGGGTCGGGGTCGGGGTCAGTGCCTGTGAACCCCCAGAAGGGGCCGGGTGGCACCGCGGCTGGTGTGAGGTTAGAGGAGACCTGCCCAGCACGGTGAGTGGCTTTCCTGCGTAGTGTGCTCTTACCAGTGCGGTAACCGGGGCCAGCGACTGTCCTGCCCAGGGAACAGTAGCCAGCACGTGATGAAGCTCAGATGGCGTTTGATGCTAGGTCCTTCTGTGAGGACACTGTCCTCAGGTTTCCCCTGACTGTGGCTTTGAGCCCTTTCTCCAAACCTGGTTCCTTGTTACCTTCTGTATCAAGTCTGGACGTCTTGGCCCTGTGTTCAAGACCCTCTGGCTTCTAGCCCCAGCTCTCCAGCCTCCCCTCTGCTCTAGTCTTCTGGCCAGGCAGCATGTACAAACTGACCTTTGGTTCCCTCCTCACCTCCGTCCCTTTGACTGCGGGTCAGCCTCCCACCAGCATTGCGCTCTGTCGCTCTGTCGGAGGCCGCCCTGAACAGGAGCTTTGCGCATATCTCTTGTTTGTAAAGAGGTACTGGACTGGCATTGCACCCACTGCGGTGCATGTGGGCTTACCTCTGCGGCTACAAGAGGTGCAGCTCTGGGAGTGGGCGTCACCCCATGGGAGTGAGTTACACCCTCCTGTTTGTTGTAATATTACCCCTTGCCCTTTTTTGGATGGAACATTCCATCAAATGGCTCCCCTCAATAAATTGGGCTTTGGAACGTGCTCCAGCGCACTCTCTCTCTCTCCTGCCTCTCGTGTTTTTCTCTTGCCCCCCTTGTGAGAGCTTACATCTGAAGGGGAGAAGCCGTCTGAATTGCCCGAGAAAAAGGTACTTTCTCTGTATGTCTGTGTGATTATTTTGTGCCAGCCCAAGTTTACCTGAGTGACCCCGGTTCAGTGGCCTGAGCTGGATGGGGAGGTGAGCTCCATTCCAGCAGTAGACACCCTGCTGCCTGGCCTCTGTGGTCTCAGTTGCTGGAGGAGTGGGACCCATGGTGCCATTAACTGGACACCTTTATGGGACTGCATCTCCCCATGAGGCTGTCAGCTGGCTAAAGGCACAGCTGTCCCCAGGGGATCCAGACCATGGATCCTAGGGTGTCTTCATTGTTTGAAGTACTAATGGGGCAGTAGTGGAGGAGTGAGGAGCAGTGGCCAGGTGGAGGTTGGAGGGGCATGAAGGAAGCTGAGGCATCTTCGAGAACCTGGGGGCTTCTCAAGGAGAGGGGAGCCTGAGGAGTGGGAGGGATGGGGGACACATTCAGTTGAGAACAAGGGTCTCATGGAGTCTGTCTGTCCTATAGGAGCTGGAGAACCAGTATGCGCCCAGCAGATGGGTCATCCGAATGGGAGCAGAGGAAGCCCTGAGGACCTATAAGCAGATAGGAATTGAGGGTACCATATTGTCTCTCTACAGCTGCCTTGGGTGGCCGTTAGCATGTGGGCAGTGGTTTGGTATACGGGGGGAAGGGAGGAGCCGAACCCCAGAGTCTCGAGGGGCATTTCCCAAACACCAGGCATTGGATAGGGGGCAGGTGCTCAGACCCTCACTGCAGGGTGGGTGGAGGCAGGAGCAGCCCAGGTGAGGGCAATGGCTCTGTTGAGCATACTCAGCCTCCCTTCCTGCTCAGCCAACTGTCGTAGGCCCTAAAGGTCACATGCCACGGTTGGCACAGGGAGGTGAGGTGAAAAGAGGAAGGCTCCTACCCCACTGTTAGGCCGGTGGTGTTTATTTATAAAAAGCAACAAGCCTTTTTCTTCTTGAAAGAAATCAGGGTGTGTGGTGTGTGGGCTGGGGTCGTTGCTCAGCAGCAGAGCGCTTGCCTAGCACATGAGGCCCTGGGTTCGATCCTCAGCACCACATAAAAACAAATAAATAAATAAAATAAAGGTATTGTGTCCAATTACAACTAAAAAATAAATATATAAAAAAAAAAGAAATCAGGGTGTGTCAAAATGAAAAATAGAAAGGGCGGGGATGTGGCTCAGTGATAGCACAGCCCTAGGTTCAATCAATAAATGAGGGTGCGGGAACCTGTACACACGTGAGTGTCCCCGTGGACTCTCTCTGTCCTGTGCCTGCATAGTGCTGGGCCAGGAAGCCAACATGGCGGATTCATGCTGGGCAGAGGCAGCCCAAGAGGAAGTGTGGCCCGGAGGCATGGCTGCTCAGTGGGGTAAACCGGACTTTGGCAAACCTGCCTGTTCCTGCAGCTGGCCGCAACCTTTCGCAGGATTCTCTCTGCCTTACAGAGGCAGCTGTCTGGGATCCCAGGGTGGGTGGTTTTTCAGACTGAAATAGCCAGGAGGAGAATCGGGCTTCTGGGGAGTTTGTTCCATACATTCCATCCTCCTCCCTGTCTGTCCTCAGCTTCCTGGGCACATCAGGGTCCTTCACTGTGCCCAGCTCTATGCTGTATGTACCTCAGTTTGCACAGTGAGAGAGAGAGAGAGAGAGTGTGTGTGTGTGTGTGTATGTGTATGAAAGTGTGAGCTTGAGAAGACCTGTTTGCCTGTCTTAATGGCCTGCAGGGATAAAAGAGTTGGCCCTACTGAGAACAGGGTAGGATATCAAAAGCCAGAGCTAAGCAGAGTGCTATGCCAGTGATCAGAAACAGCAGGTCTCTCCACAAGCCCTGGGGGGCTGTACCTTGACAAGCTCTTGCTCCCCTTCCTCTTCCAAGGCTCCAGTAGACCCCGCAGAGCTGTGGGTAGGACTAACCCACTTCACAGATGCAGATCCCGAGCCCATGAACAGGTGTGGCATGTACAGCCGGCTTGTGCATGTGTTGGGTTGCAGCCTGTCTCTATTTCTAAAAAAGAAACAAGATCTTGCTATGTTACTCAAGCTGCTCTTGAACTCCTGGGCTTAAGGATCCCCAACTCAGTATCCTGAGTAGCTAGGACTCCAGATGTGGGCTATGCAGTGCTGGGGATTGAACTCAGGCCTTGCTCGTGTTAGGCAAGCACTCTACCTCTGAGCCCCATCCTTGGCTCCTAAAATTTTGATAGGTTATTTGTTGGTGGTGGGGTTTCCTATTGCTAGGGATTGAACTTGGGGGCACTGTACCACTGAGATATATCTCCAGCCCTTTTTATTTTTTATTTTGAGGCAGGGCCTCACTAAATTGCTGAGGCTAGCCTCAAATTTGGCAATCCTCTTGTCTTCACCTCTCCAATTGCTGTGATTACAGGTGTGTGCTACTGTGCCTGACAAGGGACTTTTTGATTTTTAATAAGTATTTTATTAAGCCCATAATCCTAGTATGCTGAAGGCTAAGACAGGAGGATCACAAGTTCAAGCCCAGCCTGGGCAACTTAATGAGACCTTGTCTCAAAAATTTAAAAAGGGCTGAGGATATTGCTCAGTGGTGGAATACTCCTGGACTCAGTCTCCAGAACCTCTCACACACAAAAATTATTATATTAGAATATTGACCTTGATTACTGAGTTCGGTAGTCTCACCCCCTGCTTAAATTTGGTGCCTGAGACAGGAGGTTGAAGACTTACCCAAGCTGATACAGCCAGTGATGGGGGCCCCTTCCCCAAGCCAAGCTTCCCGTCAGAGTAGGGCACATAGATAAGGGGTGGTGTTGGTCAGGCATGTTAGCTGAGTGTCCAGCCCTAGAAATCAGGTTCCCAGATTTCAGTGCAGTCTGTGGGACTCAGAGGCTGCCTCATTGGAATCAAACTTCCAGGAGATGGAAGGAGGATATAAAGCAGATGATGTTGGGGAAATGGTGAAAAATAAAGCCTTCCGTCCCAGAAAAACCTCTCCACGAACACAGAAGAAAAGAAGGTTTATTATTGAGTAAGGGTTCAACCACACTTCACTAGGACTCCCCGCAGGTGATCCACCAAAGAGACTGCAGATCCAGGATGAAACCCCATCCTCCCAGAGCCAGGTAGTGGCACCTCACTGCCCTGCTTCAGAGCCCTGACAACACCATTTGCCGCACTTGTCCACCCTAAATCCACCTGGAAATTAGAGTGGCCATGATTGTGTTTGCTGGTTGCCTTTATCCAGAAAGGGTGGGGGGAATTCCGTATTTCACAAGGAGGAGGGTTTGCAACTTAGAGCTCAGTGCCTGCAGAGGGTGGCCTCCTCCCGCCCTCCCCTGGAGTCTGAGGGATAGATAGCCTCCCAAGAGATGGCTCCCAGGCCCTTGAGGTAATAAAACCAGCAAGACTCATTTAACTTTCAAAACTATTTGTACACATTTCAAAGGGGTAAAGATTTACAATGGTAGGTTTCCTAAAATAAATGCTCCACGAAAAGAGAGGGTTAAACTTTTCCTTTTTTGTACCAGGGAGAATTAACCTTTCTCCTCTGTTTTTCCTTTATATCCACCCCCACTGCCTCGACCTAGACCTCACAGTGGGGTGTGTTCCTTCATCCCTCTCCAAGTCCTGGCCTTCTTGGGGCTGGGCACCTGGAGGACAGAGTCAGCTGCCCTGTGACCTGCTAAGACCCCTCAGGAGCAGGAGGCTGGCAGATGGGGCTTAAGAACTATTTCCTCACCGATGGTTTTTGAATTTGTTTTACCAGGACCTTCAGTAGAAACACGTTTTATGCTAAACATAACGCAGTATGTACATATTGTCCAGGTGCTAACAGACGCTTACAGCACAATTCTTCCTAAAGGCTCTAGATTCAGAGGACACGAGGGTGGTTGCCAGGCATTGGGACAGGAAGGAGTGTGGAGGTCATGTTTAATGGGAACAGTGTCAATTTAAGGAGATGGAGAAGTTCCAGAGAGGGCTGCACGGTGTGGAGGAACTTAATGCCACTGAGCTCTGTCTGCACTTAGAAACGAAGGGCTGTGCTGGGGCTCAGGGGCAGAGCTCACCTAGTGAGTGTGAGGCACTGGGTTCCATCCTTGGCACCACATAAAATTAAATAAATGAAAAATAAAGGTATTGTGTCCATCTACTAAGAATTAAAAAATTGAAGTGGTAAAAATTATGTATATTTCACCACAATTTAAAAATATTTTACATCATTTTAATACATGTGTATAAAAAAGTGTACACAAAATACTTTTTGTGTATGTGTGTGTGTGGTTCTAGAGATTGAACCCAGGGCTGTTGTACCACTGAGCCACAACCCCAGACCTTTTTATTTTTTGATACCAGGGACTGAATCCAGGGGCACTTAACCACTGAGCCACATCCCCAGCCCTTTTTATTTTTTATTTTGAGACAGGGTCTTGTTGAGTTGCCTAGGCAGGCCTCTAATTTACAATCCTGCCTCAGCCTCCCCAGTAGCTGAGGTTACAGGCGTGAATCACCACACCTGGCATACAACACTAATTGATGTAGGATACACTGTTCCAAAAATCTGAAATCCAAAATGCTCCAAAACCTGAAGCTTTTTGAGCACCAACATGATGCCATAAGGGGAAAATTCCACACCCAACCTCATGTGAGGTGTCGCAGTCAAAATGTAGGCACCCTAAAAATACTGTAAAAATTACCTTCAGACTACATGTATAAAATGCATATGAAACATCAGTGAATTTCGTGTTTAGACCGGGGTCTCGTCACTAAGAAATCTCTTAGTTTTGTCTCTAGTCTTGTTTCTCTAGAGGCTTATTTTCCCAAAAGTTTGGGATAGTTTGTGCCTCTTATGGTGCGTAGCAAAGCCCAGTGCCTGAGATCAGCATGCAGTACAGTAGAGGGAGAAAGGTGCCTGTCAGAGCCACAGGTCACGGCCAAGACTGGGGAATCCTCTTTCACGGAGGGACTCTCAGCTGATACTTGCTTGTCAACCCAGCCTGACATAGAAATTGCTGCTACCCACCCAGTGGCATACCCTTGTAAGCCTAGTAACTTTGGAGGCTGAGGCAGGAGGATCACAAGTTCAAGGCCAGCCTGGGCAACTCAGCAAAATCTTGTCTCAAAATAAAGAAGGGGCTGGGATGTAGCTCCATGTAGGGCACAAATGAGATAGAGAAGAAATTGCTGTGATCTGAGCTTTACTGGCAACTCATCTATTTCCTGAGGCAGCCACTAGGAAAGCCCGTGACACCTGCAGGAGCCAGCTGCATGTCCCCTATGGAGATGGTGACGGGGAGAAAATGGACATCTACTTTCCTGACCAGGCATCTGAAGGTGAGCCAGGTGGGCTGGCAGTCCTAAGCAGGCAGCGGTGCCTGGCCCTACCCTGCACTCTCTTTTGTGTTACAGCCTTGCCTTTCTTCGTGTTTTTTCACGGAGGGTACTGGCAGAGTGGAAGGTGAGTCGGGGATTGGACAGTGGAGCCAGGGGAGACTCGGCTCTCTGGGGTCCCAGGATTGCTGCAACAAACGGCTTGCAGCTTGCAGCTTCCAGCAGTGGAAATCCATTCTCAGGCTGCTGGAGGTGGAAGTCGGCATTCAGGGTGCCCCTGGAGTTGGGCGCTCTCTGAGGTTCTAGGGAGGGGAGGAGGATCCTTCCTGGCCTCTTCCCAGTTCTGGTGGCTCCAGGTGTCCCTTGGCTTGTGGCTGTATCACCCCAGCCTCTCTCTGCCTGCAGCTTCACTTCATTGTTGGTATCCTGTCTCAAATCTCCCTCTGCTTGTTGTTAGAAGGATAACAGTCATTGGATTTAAGGCCCTTCCAAATCAGCTCGAGATTTTCAGTTCTGTTTGCAAAGATCCTATTTCCAAATAAGGTCATATCTGCAAGTTTTGGGAGTTAGGATTGGTACATGTCTTTTTAGGAAACACAATTCAACCCACTATGCCCAGTGAGAAAAGCATGTTTGGACAGCTCTCACATCAAGGGAAAATCCAGGGTGACTAACTGTCCCAATTGCTTAGGACAGAAAGATCTCCCAGGATCTGGAGCTTGAAGTGCTTGGGGGAAAAAAAAAGAATGTCCCAGGCCAGCTGGGACAGTGGGTCACCATGAGCTAAGAAGGGTATTTGGAGCACACTGATGTTCCCTAGCGCCCTGTTACAGTTGTCTGCCAGGATCCACGCCCTTCAGGTTGCCTACAGTTCTGACCTTCAGCTCTCAAAAGCAGCTTAGCTACGCGCAGTGGCACAGGCCTGTAATCCCAGCGGCTCTGGAGACTGAGGCAGAAGGATCTCAAGTTCAAGGCCAGCCTTGGCAATTTAGCCCAGCCTGTCTCAAGATAAAATATGAAAGGGCCGAGGGTGTGGCTCAGTGGTAGAGGTGCCCTGAACTCAATCCTCAGCACCAAAAAAAAAGAGAGACAGAAAGAAAGGCAGCTGCGGCAGCCAAGAGGGAACATATTTGTCCCTATTTTTTAGGTGAGGGAACCAGGCTTAGAGGGTGAAGTCCCCAGTTGCACTCTTCCCTCTGCCACGCGATGCTCTGCTTGCATGGGACATCTGGCATGTGGTGTGTCTGGGACATAGGAGAAGCAGCGTGGGGGACGAGTGGCCTCCAAGTGTCACTTTTTGTCTCTTTCTGCAGTAAAGACGAATCTGCCTTCATGGTCAACCCCCTGACAGCACAGGGAGTGGCTGTGGTGATAGTGGCATATGACATTGCCCCCAAAGGTAACAAGGGTGTCCCTGCAGGCTCCAAGGCCAGTGGGCTTTGTGGGAGGAGAGCCCCTGATGGATGCTGACCCAGCCTGTGCTCCCGTTCAGGTACCCTGGACCAGATGGTAGACCAGGTGGCCCGCAGCGTTGCCTTTGTTGAGAAGCGGTATCCAAGCAATAAGTGGGTGTCGCTTTTCTTGTTGGATCACACTGGGTGGGAGGACACTGATCCAGGCCCACTGGGCACAGCCAGGCTGCCTGCCCCTTTGGCCTGTGGAGTGGAAGGCAAATTGGGATCCTGATGCTTTGAGGAAAGT